TGAAGAATTTTTAACTTCTTAAAAATATTTAAAAGAACTTTGAACTATTATCTGATAAAAAAAGATCTATATTTCATATAAAACATTTTTTATTAAAATTTTTTTATAACATAAAATTTCGAAACATATTAAACAATAGCATTAAAAGGAAAGTTATTTTAACAAAATAAAAATAATACATACAGCCCCTTTCTGCAATAATTGTTGGATACAGAAAAATGGCATTATAGTAAATGCAAACAGATTGTAAATGTTGGTGCCATACTTCAAGTTGTGAAGATCTATTAAGTGAAGAGTGTGTGATAAACAGAAAATACTCTTTTTATAATGGCTTAGAGTGTTCTTTATTTGGTCTTGGCAATTTATGAAACCAGAGTAACAAATTGCAAAATGATTTTATGGGTTAGCTTTGGTAAAATGATAATTTTATCGAAGATTTTTTGGTAAAATGATTTTCGTAACACACGAGATTTTATGGAAATTATACACATTTTACGGACAAGATGGATTGTAGGAGCATTACAATAAGGTTTAATTTCCCCCCTTAAAGCACATGAAATAGAATTCCTAGAAAATGAAGAACCCCCGTAACAGCCACTTATGGACCAGGGGAGTCGTTGAAGTTGGGGGTTACCAATCCTAGTCTGATAGAGCAAAAAGAATATACAATGCGTCCCCCATTTAACCAGCTAAAATTGGGTCTAACCATTCATAGTCTTTAACCGTTCATAGTCTGTAATCCTTTATAGTCTGCAACTCTGTAACCCTTTATAGGGCCATTTTTTGCTCTGTTAAAATAATTTGAGGATTGAAATTGTTTTATAAAAATTAATTCATTTAGCTTATTACCTAAAATTAATTTGATTAAGACCATTTCTCTTTTAGAGAGGGAGGAATTTCTCAAAATTTTACCTACAGAGAAAAATTGGCCATAAACTCGACCTTCTGTGATAAACAACCAAATTTATAAACTCTGTGTTTATAACTGTAAATATACTTGATGAAAAATGATCAAACGCACAATGGAAATTACCTCCTCTTGATCCGATGGTACTCTTTCCTGTTACCCACATTTATGTAAACAAAGCGGTTCATTTTTTTTATTTACTTTATTTTTTTAAGCTATATGTATAAATTATAGGTGAGAAAACAGCTTCCCACCTACTTTTTAAAATTAATCTGATAGAAAGTATACTTCCCATAACCTTATAAAGGGTTAAAGCCAATGTCTGCAAATAACTACTCAACTATTAACAATTAATCCATAAGTGTAGGGAATGTAGGACAATAGTCCTTGATCTTTAATATCCCGTGGCGTGCAAAGTGTTTGGATGCCTAAGCTAATCTCTTTGATTAGAATTTATGTCAAATGTCCCTGATAAGCAGAGCGTAAGGGAGAAAAACCCACTTAAAAAAAACACAGGAAGAAAAATATAAATCCATATTTTACATTTCTATTTATATAAGTATAAATTAATTCTAAGGTGAAAAATTTACACTTTCAAATAAAATAATGAATTTTTTTCTTTCTTGAATGCAAAAAATATTAAAATTGCAATGATCTATAATTCATTATTAAGTTTCCCTTACCTAAAATTCAAACAATTTTATTCTTCGTGAAATAGTTTGATCAAGCTACCTGCTAAAAAGTTTCAGCTAAAGAGTAATAAGTTTTATTTCTTAAGCATCTCAGGTGGTTGAATGGATGTTCACTGTGGCTAGATGCCTGAGCCAACATTCTCCTTAGTCCAATCTTAGTATGCTACCAAGGCCTAACTTAAAGGGGGGGGGAGGAAACTGTTGAGTAAAATTTTAGTAAAAATTTTTAATAAGAAGTAGTGGTTTTAAAATAATTTTTTAAAAGAAACAGCAGAAAATTACAATTTTAAATAAAGGTTTTTAAAAAATTCTCATAATATTGAAAACTTGTGTTTTGAGAAAGTAGCCCACAATAAATTTTGTCAAACCTGTGACCTGTCTAGTACGCCACTGTCCTCAACACAAAGTATATTAAAAAATTAGAAAGCTAATCTCTAAAGGCAGTTAAGTTACATATATTTTACTTCTGCTACACTCAGTCATTAAACAATTTTATGAAAACTAATATTGTTTTCTTAGGTAAGTATACAGATATTCAAACAAATAAATATCTATAAGAATAAATAAAATGTATAAAATAGGTGTAAAAATATTTTCAATGAAAGAGATTAATGACCAGATTGGAAAAAGAGATTTATACGTTGAAGAATACGATAATAAATAGCCAATATAGTTGGTAAATATATGCTATGCTAATAAATATAAATGAAAAAGAATAATATGAGCAAAGACAAAAAATATAAAATAATCCACGGTATAAATTCATTACATAAAAAAGTTTTGTTTCTGAAACAGAAGAATGTAAAATATGCCATGGATATAAAATAACACTAATGATAAAAATTTGAAATAATATAAAAATAAATGGATAAAATACTGCCTTATTTATATTATATATCATATATCTCACCAGGTTAAAAAGCACTCGGGTTAAAAAAAAAGTAATTGAATATACTTGAAATGAAGAGTAACAGTTGGTAGATATACAAAAGATTTTTATACATTATGTATTTGTTACAAATGCAAAAATAAATCTAATAAATTATATATTTAGATATAGAGCTCTAATGATAAAAATTTAGATTATTAGAAAATAATTTTATGAAATACAGCTGAATGGATAGCGTATATTTCATCATGTTAAATAGCAGATTTCACCATGCATAACAAATTCAATCATAATTCATATGTTTAAAGAAGGAAAAATTTTATTTTAATGCAAGGATCTGATGATAAAAATTTAGAATATCATATAACTAATTTTATATAATACTGTTTAGTGAATACTATATATCTAACTGTAATACAAAATATTTGTAAACGTTATATATTTGTTTCAAAATCAAGCATGAATCTAATAAATTATATATTTTTATTTATAGCACTAATAACGAAATTTTAGAATATTGTAAAATAATTTTATAAAAAACAGCTGAATGAATAGCATATATGAAATCTAACTTATTCCATTCGATCATGTTAAATAACATAGATTTCACAATGCATGTGTAACAAATTCAAACACAATTTATATATTTAAACAAGCAAAATTTATATTATTATGTATGACTTGGATGATAAAAACTTAGAATATCATAAAATTAATTTGATAAAATACTGCTTAGTGAATACTATATATCTCGCCACTTTAAATAGGCACTCAGGATCAAAAATTTTAATAAATATACTTGAAATAAATATAATCAATTGTAATGGAAAATAATGGTGAACCTTCTGTATTTTATACAAATTCAAGCATACTTTATATTTTTATAAACAGATCAAATGACAAAAAATTGGAATATTATTATATAATTTCGTAAAATACTGCAGAATGAATAGTATACATGGTTCTTCAAAATTCATAGGCAAAAATTTAAGGATTGACAGAAAATATTTACAAGCCACTTTCACAATATAATGCACAAGTGGAGAACAAGCAGCGAACCATTAGGAGGTATATATTACAGTCACATGAAAGAATGAAACACCAAACAAGTGGTACTAAATTAATTTTAATGACAGAGTGTCTGGCACAATTACAGAAACTGCTCAAAGGAGCATTATTTTAAGCATTATATCTGTGACATAGCTGGTGGTGCATGTAATTAAATTTATCCAAATTAATTTAGTACCTCCTCTATCCATTTAGTGTTGTTATGCTCCTTCAAGGGAGAGTTTATCCAAATTAATTTAGTACCTCCTCTTTAAGTGTTGTTAATCTCTTTCAAGGGAGAGTTTATCCAAATTAATTTAGTACCTCCTCTATCCATTTAGTGTTGTTATGCTCTTTCAAGGGAGAGTAGAGCATTAAATTGCTCATAGGAGCAGTATTGCAAGCATTATATCTGTGACATATATGGTGGTGCAGGAAATTTAATTTATCCAAATTAGTTTAGTACCTCCTCTATCCGGTTAGTGTTATACTCTTTCATGGGAGAGTAACGGATACCCGCTAGTGGTGCACTGCTTGCCTTCCTCCACACATTGCATGGTAAAAATTGCTTGTTCAGAAATTTTTACCAATGAATTTCGAAACATCCAGTTAATCGCACGTTATTAGATAGACATTCAGTTGGACGTACTAGAAATGAAGAACAAATCAAATGATGCATAAAATGCAATTTAACATTTTGAAGATAACACACTTTCAAATTTTATGATCAGCTTTTCTAATAAAAATTTAGATCATCATAAAAATTATTTGATAATATACCGCTAATTGAACATCATATATTTTCTCATGTGAAATATGTGTTGATAATAATAAGTATCCCTGAACACAAAACTGAATTTAAGAATTTTTTTTAAAATGATAACACAAAAAATTTAAAAATAATATAATATGCAGAGTGCATAAGGTATCGCAGATAAACAGGCACATTGGTAAAATGTGTATATAAATAGTACATTCATTACAGAAATATTAAGGTGCAGTAAGTATTGACAATAGGAACAATTTGATCCTTAAAATTTATTATATTTACAAACATGAAACAATGTAAATACGAAATATAGTTATTGAAAACCTTCTTTACCATCGAAGAAGAAAATGCTTTTACAGGAAAATGTACAATTTTTATTAAATATAATTTCATAAAAATATGTAAATTTCATACTACAATGTTTATAATAAAAATTTTTAAGCTTTTTTAATAGTTAACATTTCTTTAAGTATTAATTGAACTATTAAAAATATAAAAATCTCCATGTTTATGTATTTTTTGTTAAGATAAAAAAAAANAAAAAAAAAAAAAAAAAAAAAAAAAAAAAAAACAGTTTTACAAGTAACAGAAAATTGTTATAAGTATTAGTAGCAAAGCTAGTTCCAATATTATATCATATTTAATTTCAGTGTAAATGACAAAAAAACTTCTTAAGTCTTTTTTTTTTAAAGTTAAGATACTTAAGTATTATTTTTTAAGTTTTAATATATTTTACAATATAAGGATATCTCATTTCTGTGATTTCCAATTTAGATTTTCATAACCAAATAATCTTTATAAAAATTTAAATGTAACTGTTGCACACTGTATTTAATTTATTAAAAGTATACTTATTCCGCAATTTTTATTTTTGTAATTTTTTACTTTTATTACTTTATTTAAATTTTTTTCAATCTTGTTGCTTTTTATTTTAACAAGCTAGGTTGGTTATTTAATATGTTATAGCACCAATATTAATGTGTGAACACACAAAAGAATTATAGTGTTAAATCAGAATTATATTATAATTAGAATTAAAGTGGGATACTGTGTTAATAACCCCATTTCTGTCAAACTTTTATTCACAAAAATTTCAATAGGATTATTGCAATGCTCTAGTTTGGTTATTTCAGTTGCAATAGCACCAAATATATTAGCAACTTGTGAGTGCATGTTAAAATTACTTTAGCACTTAAATGGGAATTACAAATTACTAACCTGAAGAAAACAGTAACAGGTAAATAATAATTAATAACCCTAACTTAGTTTTATGGTTTAATTAATACAGGTAGCTTTATATTATTAGGAATTATTTTCACAGTATATAGATAGAAATTGATAAATACATATTAAGAAAATAATTACTTTAATGCAAAAAATGTGTCAAAAATATTGTTGCAGGTTGAATAAGTAAAAGTGAAGTTCTTTTTATTTCTGATTAGAACTATGCAGAATATAGATAAATATATTAACACATAAACATTGTAGTCAAATTTAATACAGTTATTAAAAAAAATTTATAAATAAAAAAAACAGATTATTATATTAATTTCTTCATAACTTTATTTAACAAACATTAAGAAAAATTTGGACTACTTAAGTTATACGTAAAAGTTAACTAAAATGAGTATTGTCAGTTAATTTTTTGAATAACAAAAATAGTTTTTAGAAAAACTACTTAGACACTTAAATGACTTGTATTCACAATCTTCTATAGAGTTCCTAAAAAAAGCTTCTTAATTTTTTTTTAACAAATTCTATAAGTAGTAATTATTATAAAAAAACTAAAAATATATTTCATACATGTCAGAATATTGAAAAACAGTTTTAGCTTTAGATCATTAAACAAAGATTTCTAACATATAAAAATTTTAAGAGAGTGTAAAAATACATAGATTTAGTCTATAGTTTTTCTTTTACACAAAAAGAGCTTACAAGTATCTATATGATACATAGTGTACAAAAATTGTTTTAGTAAAAAATAAAACTTTTCAGATCTATACAATTTGTTAATTTTCAAGAGGAGTAAAAAAATACAATTTATAGTAAGTCAAGATAAACTAAAAAATGAGTATAGTTAAGATAAATAACACGAAATACAACAGCTGCAAACAAATATGTAGACAATGGATTATAACATATTAGATCAATGTCCGAATATCTTAAGCTTTATATACAATAATGTAATTAGGTTTAAAATATTAAAGCCACTTTGGATATTATTAAAGCCTTTCTAAAATAAGACTTTATAGTTCTTATACATACATATAAAAAGTACACATACTTTTAATAGAAAAATAAACAAATCACTCATACAAACAATGTTAATGTATATATGCACTAGTTTTAAAAAATAATTTTTCATCAAATGTTTATAAACTATGCCTTTAAAACTAAATTAGTGAAATAGCGAAACAGCTAAATTCCAACATCAATATTACCAGCATTTTTGGTGAATAACTTCAACTAAGTTCAAAGTTTTTAAATCTGCTTCAGAACAAACTTTCATTTATGTTATTTTGGATTAATGCAACTTTATTTAATTTTTAATCTTTCAAAGTCAAGCCATAAGTAAAATTCAATATCTTATTTCCAGATTTTATTTCGTTAAAAAAATTTATGCAAATAGATGTTGAAAGGGCAAAATATTTACATAGCAATAGTAGTAATTACTGATATTCGGACGAATGGAGAGTGGTATTAATTCCTTTTTTTTAAAAAAAAAATTTTCTAATATAAGGATTGAAAAGAAGATTGAATAAGTAAATTTGTTTTAAAGTATTTTGGTAAAGTTATTACTCTAATCATGAAATTTCGCTACTTATTGTATTTTCCAAAATATGTATTTTATTAATTGAAGCCATAAAGAAAGAAATGGATTAATTAATACTTCATACTTTTCATTAGTCCTTTGGAAAAACACAATCAAGCATTATAAGATCAAATTAATCCAGAATAATGCTAATAGAATACAAGGAAATTCGCAAAGGAATAATTTTTTTAAATTTTCAATCAGTTTTTTTTTTAAAAGTGTTAATTGTTTTTTTCGTTAACAATTACCTCCTTCATAATTCTTTAAAATCAATTTTAGTACGATAATTTTGATATACACTAATAATGAATTTCTTTTTTTAAAAAATGTCATAATGCAAATAAAAACTAAAATTCTTGCAGTTAATTTGTTGCGACTTTTGCAAATTTTGTAGAAAGATTTTAAATTAAATTGTACTGAATGCGTATTGCTATGTATGTATTACATTTTTTAACATTCTACCATTCAAAATCTAGATTAAGATTATCAATTGAAAATTGAATAAAAAAAAATTTTTTTTTTTAATGTTAAACGCTGAAAATTTGTTGATCACACAGATGTAATATCTTTTAATTTGAGAAAATAAATATATATACTTAACTGATTTTCTTTTAAAAAATGAAATTAAGTATAATTAGTTAACAAGGAATGATTTAACTACATATAATAAAAAAATTACATTATAGTGAACGACTAAACTTTAACAAATCTTTTATGAGTAGAAATAAAAGGAATAATAACTTTTACAAAGAATAAAGGTACGAGATATCACAGAAAGATGTACCATATTCATATGAATTGATGAAATATAGTTTCATATTGAGACGGCACACTGAAAATAAATGCTTCTTTTCAGTTTACAGGACACAATAACATTAGTGTTTAGAGTATAAACATTGAGTTTGCAAACATAAACATCATTCATAATGTATAAACAAAATCTACTACTTGTTAAGGAAAGTTTAGAAAACTGTTTCAAAGTTAGCAGCTAAAATACTATTACAACAGACCAATTTCCATAATTGGTTTCTGTTTCTGACCAATTATCAAAATTTGGCTTCAGTTTCAAGCCAATTTTTAAAATTGGGTTTCAAACCACCATTTGTTCATAAAAATCTGGCTCATCTTCCTGCTCAGCTTCTTCACCTTCTTCATCCAACTGGAAAAAAAAAGTGATGTGAAACATACATTTTAAGTAAAATATTTAAAAACATCACCTGTTTGCGTAATTTTGCACAAGTTAGAAAGTTATGGTAATAAGCCTAAAAAATTAACAAATATCTGCCGACGACTCAACAGATAAAAGTCACTCTCAAAAATAGCATGAAATGGGTGAAATAATTTTGTATTTAGTAATTAAAGAGCTTAGTGAAAGAATGTTATAAATAACAATATTTTTTTAAAAAAAGAAAGATTTCTCGAGGAAAAGCTTGATTTAGTCTTATTTAACTATACAACATTAATTTTTATTGCAGAGTCATTAAAATTGAGATAAACTTACAAAGAGGCAAATCTGAGTATTTTTAAATTTGAAGAAGGTTCCAAGTGCATTTGGCAACAAACAGCTGAGCTGATGAGTAATCTAAAAAAGCTTCTCTTAAAATAGAAAATTTAAAACAGAAAAATTGCACAAATGCAATAGGAAATCGGCTAATAGAGAGACCTTTTAAATTTTGATCATTATTTCTTCTTTCTAAGCTTCCGTTCACCTAACATCTCCTTCTTTTCAAGATTTTTTTTAGCCATAGGAAACTTCATTTTGTTGCATTTCTTGGTTATCTTTTTAATCAAATCAGCTGGAGCTTTGAGAAATCAGATGAAATAAATTGTTACTTTTATAGCTGTTTTTATTCACTTACTCTAATCCTTATTACTGGCCAATTTTTATGAAGTATTATAATGATGGTTAGATATAAAATTCAAATAAAAAAAGAGCTAATGCCAGTAGATAACTTTAATGAATTTCCTTTATGTGATAATGTTAATTATCACAAGTTTATTCTCCCCTTAATATAATTATGTTTCTTTTAATTTTTCACTTTTGTTTTTTAATATTTGCTTTAACTTNTTTTAATATTTGCTTTAACTTTGTTTTTTTTTTTTTTGCTTTAATTTTGTTTTCTTAATTTGCTCTACTTTTATCATCTTAACTTTTAATTTCTTGTTCACGGATCCCTGCTCTTAACTTCATTTAATGTTCAGTTTACATTTAATTCATTTCATCAATTTACATTGTACATGTTTATTTACTACATTTTTTTTAATTATTAACTTTTATAGATTTATTGTATTTTATAATTTTTTTATGCAATTGTAATTTATTTATATTATCAATTAGTGTTTTTTTCCTTTTTCGATCATGCACTCCCCTCATGTGATATTTCCCAATCTTATTTTTTGCACGTGCGGTAATCTGATATGCGCTGCACCCATCATCTTGGACCCCTCTTCCTAACACCTGCGTGGGAGGATTTTGGACCCTTTTTTTGGTTGCAGCTGCATCCCATGGTCAACCGTGAGAATTAGATAGATATATAGGTTTTTTATGTCTTGTCCCCTTCACCGCGTGACTTTTTTCCTTTTTCTCACACAGCTGTGTACTTTTAATTGCGAACCGGACGGTAATCGTCATTTTTAACCTTTAGCCTTTTTGACCTCGCTTCCCCGTTCACACCAGGGTGTCGCGACCCCCTTCGACCACGTGTTGTCCTTTACTTGCTCCTTCTATCGGCCAATGGTTTCTTGAGGGGTTGAATTTTGAACAACCCTTATTTTTTTTCATTGGTCTACTTTTAAGTTGTCCTACCCCTCGTTTCCCTCATTGGCTTTTCAAGGGTGACGCCCGAGCTTACATAAGGTGATGCATGACGGAAAAAAAGAAATTCTCGCTCTTATCTCAATATGTGATTGAATTTTTTGAATGACAAGATTTTGATCTGGTGATGTAAAAAAATGTTGGAAATACTTTGCGAAAAATATGATTTTTTGTTTGTGATAGTGAGTTTACAAAGGCTATGTTATAGTGTTTGTGTCGATGTATAACACCGATTCAAAATAATAAACAGATTTATTTTTACAAGTGACCAGCCTCATGTATCTTCATATTATCACCTTACAATTTAGTTGTCTCAACGCCATGTTGGGGTGAGTAGTCATTGTTTTTTTTAGTTAGCACAGATGATTATCAATCTCACAAGAATGTGTTTTCTTTTAAATATTTCTATATGCAATTCTCCTTATCATTTATATTAATGGTTTTTGTTTATCTGCTTATTTTTCTAAATTTTTGACCCAATGGACCTATTGGGTTATTTCGGAGTTCAACAATGCTGAACCACCACTATTTGGCCTTTTATTTAACGCGATTTAATGTATAATTTTTTTCCTTACCATATTCATTCAAGTATTATTTTATTTTAATTTGCTATGCATTCTTGTGGGTTTGCCTTGCCACATACACATTTATTTATTGTATTTGTTAGATCATGTACTTAAGCTGTGAATCAATTGTCTCTAGTTAGTGTTTTAGGCATTATTCTATCATTAGGTCATTCAACATTAACCTTATTTTTTAGTCTTAACTTTGATTAATTGCTTTAATTTCATAAGTTGATTATTTTCAATCTTTAATTCCTTTAAACTTTAACAAACTTATTTTATTTAACTCTTACACTTTATGTAAATTTCACTTTGTGAGCAAGGAAGGAATACTAATTCATTGCATTATCTTGCACCTTTTTGAATGAAGCCAATGAAGCAAATAAAATTAGCGAATGAATCACTTTCAAAGATGGACATTTTTCTAACACCTTTTTTCTTTCTTACTCTTATTTTGATGAAATAAAATCAAATCTTGCATACATAAGGAAGTCTTGAGAAACTAAGTTCTCAGTATCTAAACGGCTTGCTAAATTATTGATAATAAATAAAAATGGTTAATACATAATTTAACTCCAGAACTCTATAAGAAAACTTAAGTGAAAAGCTTAAAAAAAATTTTAATAATTGAAAACAGTGTTCTAAAGTATTGATACATAAATAATGGAAAGAAATTTTTTTTCATAGAATAAATAAAAATTAAAAATACAAATTGAAACTTACAGCTTTCATTTCCTCAGGATTCCAGCATGTTTTCATAGAAGCATGCACAGCAATCATGGATAAAAGTGCAAAAGGAAATGCAAGAGTAGCATATTCTTTGACAACCCAAATCACAACAATAGCAACGATTTGAATACCTGTATAAGTATGCATTTTGCTAATTTTCACCTGTAATATAATAATTATAATAAGACTTGAAACATAAAGAACATGTTGTTTTAATCTAAATATCTCAGCTTTTTCTATAATTCAAAAATCTTGCAGCAGGCCAAAAACCAAAAAAATCAGGCCAACATTTAAAAAAAAAATTAAAAATAAGGAATAATATATATAAAGCAAGCAACTTTCAAAAAGGACAAACAATAAACTAACAAAAATATAATTTGCTCTACTTAAGTATGATAAAGGCAAATTTTATAGCAAAAGAACAATAAAATACACTCTCCTTAATTTCGAGATTACTTTCTTTAGAAGAGAAAGTTTCAAAATTTTTTCAGTATAATACTACAACTGGAACAAAAAAGAACTCACAATACTTTGTGATCAATAAATAAGAAAATTTTGTAGTACTCTTGCACCAAAAAAAATCATTATCAATTAGTTAACATTCTTTTTGTACCAATATTTAATTAAAATTAGTAATCAAGTTTAAAAGTTCCTTATCAAATTATTTTAATATATAAGGCTTCAATAATCTTAGAAATACGAAACGTTAAGTGGCATATTCGCTCAATATGACGCTTAATAATTTCGTGCAAAAAATTTTTTTTCAGGGAATAATCCCTCAATTTAACACTTCTATGTTTAAATACTGATGAGAATCGATCATTTTTATAATCGGATGAAAGAGATAAATTAACAATAACTGTGAACTATAAAACTCTAACAAGATTTTCATTATCAAAATGGAAAATAGTCAGCATAATCTATTGTAATTGACAAAAGGAGCATGCTTTTGAAGATAGCAGCCGAGTTTCCAAAAACAGTAGAAGAATTTTTTTAGGGATTAAGACAACTTTCACGTTATAAAAATTCTGATTTAAGAAATTTAAAAATAAAAAAATTTAAATGATGCTTGTTTTTCAGTCTTCTATATTCCATTATACAGTCAAACCTTCAAGGGACCAAAATTTTGGTTCACTATAACCGGGAGTTCACTATATCCGTTACGCAGGCAATTTAACTAATGGTTCCCAAACTCCTCCCTTTTATTACACATTATTTAAATAAATTACTGTAAAATATTACTTAGTAGCGAAAAATTTGTTATTTTTCATTACTCTTCGTCTTGCTTACAAAAAAAAATTAAATAAAAAAATTTGTAATCTTTAGCTGATGAGCAATCCTGACAGAAAATGCATATTGATCCCACTGACACCTTACAGGTGCATTATCTGCCAGGGTTGGAAATATCTGCTTGGTTTGTTTAGGGATGGGAAAGTGAGATAAAAGAAGCTTATCGCTAAATTGCCCTCTATAGATGGGTTTAAAAATCGGTATATATGTATTTATTTTAAAATAAAAATTTCAAAATTATTACAAAAAAAAATCAGTTGAAGACAGAAAAAAGTTCATTATATCCAACTTCCTCACTTTTTTGGTTCACTATATCCACAAAAAATAACATTATACGTGTATAGCAAGGCACGGGACCTAACATTTCGTTCACTATATCAGGGAGTTCACTATGAACCGTGTTCACTATAGCGGGGTTTGACTGTATATGTAAATATGTTTTTATTGCATTTATCAAGCACCACTGAAAAATTAATGAATTCAAAGACAAATAATCGATAACTGTGTTACCTTGCGAACAAATGAGAAGTCTGGAAAATGTTTCTTATGCATAAAAATAAGGAGAAATCTTTCATAAAGATGGATGCCACTTAATGATGATATACCCATGTATAAGAATACTCCAAACAACACACAAAATGGAACTTGTCTCAATAATGGTGCCATCAATATAGATGCTCCTGTAAATACACAGAATGGGATTACACAGTGGTCTCTTTGTTATGTTTAAAATTATTAAATTTTACTTTTTTGATATTATTCAAGATATTACACTGGAAGAAGATATTCCCCAATCAGGTAAGACAAGAAGACACCAATATTAGTGTAACCCTTTTTCAAGAGTGACATCAACATAAATTATGATTACTACACTTTGCCTTTATAGAGAAATAACCAGCTAAGAATATTTTTTTTTAATAAAAAGGTGGTTATTAATAAATCACAATTTATTTTATTTATACTTATCCTATTTGACTTTCTTCCTTATTCAAAATGTATGAGCTAATGTTTCAAGAAGATCTATTTACGAAAGAGATGATATATTGGAAAAATCTATTCAATCTGATTTTATTTGCTTCATTTTGTGAAATTCTCTCATATTTTTTACCAATATAATAATGACATCACAACTATCTAGCTTGCTCGAGCCACTTTACACCATCTACGGTTTTTGTTTATTCGTTTTACAAAATGGTTTTAATTAAAAAATATTAAGTTAAAAACATTACCTATCTATGAATTAAAATATTATCTATCAAATGAGTCCAGATGAGAATTTGTGCAATCATCTATTCAGATTTTAAACTAAAAATGTGATTTTTTTTCTTTTTAATTAGTACTTGTTTTCAAACTTTGTTGCTCAGGGATGAGAACTACATATTTTAGTGACCTGAAACTTTCCAAATATTAGTCTCGTACTAAAAGTGGCACTTTTTCTAGGGGATCCTGTAAAGGATTGGATAAAGAATAATTTTCCCCATGATAATTAAAGTCACCCCAGTATTCACATCAAGATACACTAATCTTCACCCTAGGATCTTAGATATCACCCTAGTATTCAGATTAAGATATACTGAGACTGGTACCTTACTTAATGCCTTGAGCACCATGTACAATTTTTAAGGAAAAATGCCCATCAGGCCACTATGCTTAGAGCAGTGTGAAACATACTACTAAAAGATTGAAATAGATAAAAATTTAGCAAATCTTAGTTTTATGTCTTATTTTACATTTACAGTCACTGGAGACCGATGTCGCCAAACTGGAAAGTTCTGTGTCGGTAACTGAGGACTGGCTTGACACTCAAAGCATTAAACAAGTTCAAAGGAAGATAAAAAAAATAATAGGCATAGTTATAGGCAATAATAAGATGATATAAAATACTTAAAATGTACATACCAACAAGAAATGATACCATAAAGTTTGTGATTCTTTGTTCTTTGATATCAATAATGTGAGGTGTTTCACCAGGAGCATGAGTCTTACTGTAAATCGTTAAGCTTGATGCGTGTGTAATGGACCTGACACAAGCAGCACAAAGCCAGGGGCCACCAATAAATCCACTTACAGCATTTATGATACCTACTATAACCATGTCCAAATGAAATCCAGATCCTTTTTTCAGCTTCTTTTTACTTAGGATAAGTCTACAACAAAGAGAAAAGTTAAATTGTAGAGGATAATTTATATAAATATTCTGCATTAGATATAGCGCTAAAAGTGTCTCTACTACAACTCAAAGTTTTCCCAGGAGAATGATTTTAAACACAACTTCATATTAATTCCTCAAATAATGAAATTCATTTACCAATAATCAAAGCAAGATGAGGACATGAGTTTAGGTGATTCACCAAAAAAACAAAAAAGCAGGCAAACTTTAGAAATTGTCCAAAATCGGACAGTATTGCCGAAATCAGTTTAAATCAAATCTCTATTCAAGTTGAGTTAAAAAAATTCATAAAGTATAATATTTATAAAATTGTAACAAGTGCTTTAATGTTAATTGCAACATTTGTTTCGATATAACTGTCCTTAACTAAATTGCAGCATGCTTCACAAGACAAAGAATCTTGGAAGGCAAAGCAATGACGAGAGAGAAGCAAAGGAAGAAGAGAGGGAAAAAAGAAGAAAACAAGACTTTGTAGTATTTATAAAAGGAATAATTACATTTAAATAATTAATATTAAAATTTACTGTAATTAATATTAAAATTTGTAGAATTGATCAATTAAAAAAAATTATGAAAATCAATAGTAAGTAGATGTTAATGTTTTGAGTTCTGAGGTAACTGAAGAAAGCGATTTTTTTATTCAATTATTATCTCAGTAAAATGTGACAGGTGATTAATACTTATTTTTAATACTTACTCAACTATTTGTGTTTCCAAAAAAACTAAAATGAAGACTAAAATAGCAATGACAAAGGCACCTGCAACTTCCCATGCCTTGACAGGAAAGGGTGATATAATCCAACTTCTGTCAGTACTTGGGCTTAATCCTTCAGGTACAATTAATTTCTAAATAAAATTTAACAACAATAAATACTAATAGTAAATGAAACTTTTTTTTCATAACTAAGCAAACAAAATTAAAAATAACTATAATTTTTTTCCCTCATACTTATAACTAATTGCTCTTAACAGTACTAAACTAAATTGCTCTTTGACAGATGGTAATGCTAACTATAAACTTTAGTTATTCAAATATAACACCTTTCTTGTTTTGTATGTCTTTATCTTTTGCCTATCAATAGATAGAAATCATAAATATGCATACTAATAGACCAATACAAAAATAGACAATTTATTTTCAGGGTGATATCTGCACCTTATGTTCATCTTTGTTTTCCATCTTAGAAGCTTTTTTCCCTTTTTATTTTTATTTCAGTTTCATTCACTCTTTTCTCATGTAGAGATTAGTGTATTAATTTTTTTTTAGTTTACCTAGTATTTACTACAAACTAAACTCGGTGGCACAACAGCTCATAGAGGGCTGTGGGGGCGGAGTTATCGGCCATGCCAACCTTCATCTATCAAAAGGTACCTCATGATAGAATCAAGTTAGCATGCTTTATATACTCGTGAATGATGTTAAACTTTTGTAGTGGTAGTTACGCCACAGTACTCCCCCACCAGAATTTTATCAGGGATATAATTTGATGAACAGATCTCACTAGTTGCTGTATTTGTGAAAGACCGGAGAGAGTCACCGGATTTTTTTGAGTGCTGAATGTGAGAGGTGTATTAACTTCACAGACGTGGTCGCTCCTGTGTTTCCTTTAGCAGTCGAGTGTATGCTTGCCGACATTGTGTGTGTGTTTAAGACGAGACTGAGAAACAGCGCAGGAGGGTGAATGATGCATTCACAAATAGCAAGTCAACCGTTCAATGCGGACTATCCATCGAAGTAAGCGTTAGCATTAAGAGATTGCGAAGTAGGCGTTACTTGCGTGAGCAAATCACGTCCGGGTCACCAATGTGGGGGCGGAGTTATCGGCCAAGCCAACCTTCATCTATCAAAAGGTACCTCATGATAGAATCAAGTTAGCAGGCTTTATATACTCGTGAATGATGTTAAACTTTTGTAGTGGTAGTTACGCCACAAGGGCCAAGGCCTACTGTGCCCATCTCAGTTTTCTTGATCTTGGGCTCTGGGGTGCAGGAGCAGATTTTCCGGTCAGATGGTCAGCCGAACGCGGAACCCCCAGCGTTTAATTCCCAGGCATGCTTGGTACTCATTTATCGACCCACTAAAGGGATGAAAGGCTGAGTCAACCTTGCCCGGCCCGAGGATCGAACTCAGGACCTGTGGCACGGGAGCGCAAAGCACTACCTCTCAGCCACCGGGCGTCTTACCTAGTATTGAGTCCCTTTCTAAATGTTTTTTTAACATTGATTTATTTAAATAAACTGAAAATTAAAATCAAAAATATTTTTCATTTGTATTTTACTAATATGAAGTTTTCAAACAACTGATACGGAACTTCGGTTATAACTTTTAATAATCGAATTATTAATAATCAAATATTGTAATATCCTTTTTTATTATTTTTTTCTAATCATAAAATATTTGCTTTTCAAGTTTATCTTTAAAAAAAGCATTTGTATTTTTTTGATAGCAACTCACTTTCGAGAAAATTTATTAAGAATTTGGAAGTCCTGAATCAAGGAACTTCACTCCAAATTCTATTCGCATGGTGAGAGCAATTCACTATAAAGTGAGAGCAATTCAAAACAATAATAAGTATAAAATGAAGCAACATACTTCAGTATAAGTATTTGGAATACAATAATCAATCAGAACCATGATAACAATTGCAATTGGAACTCCAAAATCTCCAAGAGCTCTTCTTGCCTAGAAAATAGAAAATTTAGGAATTTCTGAACTTTATATACATTTGATGAAAATTTAATACATATTTAGTGCACTAATTTAATTTCTTCACAAGCAAAGTCATAAGCATGAATGAGGATTTTTTCAAGCTTTTGACAACTGACAAACGATGTGGTCCTAAATGTTCATTATGAACGTAAAACATAAAGTGTTAGGAACGTATTTTTTTTTAAACGATACCTTCAAATAAGATTTGTATAGGTTGAATTCACAACATTATAATAAATATTGGCATAGTATTATACAGTTTTCATTTATTTTAAAAACTATTCATAACAGCATCATTTGCATGTTAAGAATTCATATAAAATTCATTCCAATAGACACACTACATGCTGGAAAATCATTGGACATTACAATGGGCATCACTTGCAGAAGGGGATATTTGTCCCTCTCTATAATTAGAAATCTTTTTAAATTCCTTTCAATATTTTTCTTTATGTGGGAAATTTAGAAATTTACTTAGCTGTGTATTTTAATTTTTCCTTTCGTTTATCTAAAAAAAAAAATTGAATGCTTGTCTAGCTCTTGAGAATTCTGACTTTTCAATTTTTTCTAGAAATAACGGATGGAACTTAAAGAATGTTAAAGGCCCATAAATGTTACGGACGGGGAGTGTCGCTGAAGCTTCAAAGCAGTCTAGGGTTGCGTTTCAAAGCTGGAACATGTTAATGAGCTCTCTCCCCGTAGCCGTTCAGTGAGTAAATGTAGAGGGAGTCTGTTTAACTACAGGTGGCGCTGCATGGTGTATGCAACACTCTGTCATCCTGACTTAGTCGGTCTCCGACTAATTGCTTTAAAGGTAAATATTAAACATCACAATAAAAAAAATATTGATGACAGAAATATTTTGACAATTGAATTGAAATATAAAACAATAAATTTATGAAAATTTAAATCTAAACTAATTCTAAATATATTCAATTTTAATATAATATATACTAGTTGATTAAGTAAATAAAGAAAAATGCACTTTTCAAAATTATTAAGTAAATGAATTTCTCTTCAACCTATAAAACTAGCAGAAAATAAGTAATAAAAAGATATTTTCAAACATATAAAACTACAAATTTTTTTTATCTCACTTCTGAAAACTACGATCAATATGAATATTTCGATCATTAAAATAGAAATTTGTTATTAATATTCAGTTAAATAAGTTCAACTAATTTTTGATTTATGCAATAAAATCCAAAATGAAAATAATAAGTTTTTTTAAAAAAAATAATTGAAAGTCTGTTCTTGCACTAATAAAATTAAAAAAAATCGAAAGTCAGTGTATAAGTTCTTGCACAATTGAAAAGTTCATAGTTCATATGAAAAAAAAGGAAAAAGTTTATGGATCTTCCCACGGTTTCAATAAGTCTGCTGATGTGGATGTGACAGTTGGTCCTTCTCCTATACCGATCTTGTGAACATCATATCTATCGTTGGGTCTAATTTTTGTCACAGTGTATGGACCGAAAAATTTTGGTCGAAGTTTCAAACTTGTCCCAAATTGGGTTCGTTTGATGGCAACTCTGTCGTGGAACTTATACTTCGTTGCTGTCTTTCGTCTAGTATTATAATTGTGCTTGGTTTTTTCTTGCATCTCAAGTATATTGTTTTTTGCTTCTTTTCGCATTTGTTGTTGATTTTCAAGTAAAATATGTATGTGTTCTTCCTCGAGGATTTTCTCATGAAATTTTTCCACCTGTCCATTCCCTCGAGGTTGACTTGTGGTGATTGTGACATGATCAATTTGTTCGTCTTCACAGTACTTCTTGAATTCTATTGAGGTGAATGCAGATCCTTTATCTGAGGTGATTATTCTTGGATTTCCAAAAGTAATTTGCTGCAGTTGTAGTTTATCCAAGGCATATTTAGCTGATGTTGATTTAACTGGATAATTCCATTAGAATTTGGTGAAAGCATCTACAACGGTGTAAATGTATTTGTAATTCCTATTTGTACTGGGTAGGGGACCAAGAAAGTCTATGTGGTATGTATCTAGAGGAATGTCTCTTTTTGAGATGGGATGCAAGAAACCTTCTTGTTTTCCTACTTTACGTGATGAAAGTATACATGGAATGCAATTGGAAATTACGTTTTCAACAGTCTTTCTTATATTTGGGAACCAAAATTGTTCTTTAACCACGTCTTCTGTCTTGTTGATACCAAAATGGCCTTTGTTGTGTTGTAGTTGAACTATTTGTTTTTGCATATCTTGAAGTATGACTAAGAGTTCTTGATTGTTTACTACTCTGTATAGTCTTAGTGGTCGTGCAATAATTGCATAATCTTTAATAAATTTTCTAAAATATCCTGTTAGGCCTAGGAATGATTGAGCATCTTTAGCTGTTTGGAGCTTTGGAAAATTTAAAACTGCTTTTGTCTTTTCTGTTGAGGGACTAATCGTACCATTTTCTAAAATATGTCCAAGAAAGGTAATTATTCTTTGCAGGAAATTGCATTTTTTGAAATTAAATTCAAGTCCATAGTCGGAAGCTACTTTGAAAACTTTCTGGAGTGTTTGAAGATCTTCGGACTCATCGTCTGATGGAACAATCACATCGTCCAAATATAAAATCAATGTCCCGTCTTCTAAGAGTTCTCGAAAAACAATTTGTATAAATCGTTGAAATACTGCTGGTGAATTGGAAAGGCCGAAAGGAACTTTGTTGAATTCAAATTGTCCATCTGGTGTCACAAACGAAGTGTATTTGCGGCTTTGAAGATGAATGTCTACGTGGTGAAAAGCATTTCTTAAGTCCAGATTTGTAAAGACTGAAGCACCTTGTAGTCTATCGAAAATGTCCTCCATAATTGGGAGTGGGAATCTTTCTTTTATTAACTTCTTATTTAAACATCGATAATCAATCGCAATGCGAGTTGAGCCATCTTGTTTTTTACATAAGACAATTGGAGTGGAATAATCTGAAGTGCTTTCTCTAATTATACCTTTGTTTAACATTTCTTTAATTTGTTTATTAACTTCTAACTTCTCGAAAATAGATAGGCGGCGTGGATGCTGATAGACTGGCATTTCATCTTGAAGAAAAATTTGCATTACATAATTAGTGTTCTCAATTTTATTTGGCCTATAAGATTTAATAAGTTGCTCAATTTCGGCACGCATATCGGATTTTAAATGAGATAAATCAACATCGGCGTAAACTATATTTATATAAGATAAACAATAATCCGTATTTTCAATAAACGTATTTTTAATCTCTTTATTTTCCGGATTTGAAGAATTAAAACAGTTTGTTTCTGTTTCAGCTGACAAAAATATATCGGTTTCGGTTTGTTTATTTACATCGGAAAGAGCACGCTGATCACGTGATTGGGCAGTTTCCGCTTTCTTATTAGGCGCAGACGTCATTGAATCAAACTCATTTATTTGTTTTTCAAATAAATTTTGAGTAGAAGTACATTTGCATTCGCATAAAAAAATTTCGGTTTCAGTTTGAAAAGGGAGTGGTTCATTATTATTTTCAATCTCAAAGAATGACTGACCTTCGTCTTACTGATGCGACTGTACTACACCCTTGTCAGATCTATTTTTAGAAACTGGGGGAGAAAAATTATCGTTTTCGGAAATGAAAGAAGTAATTTGATTTTCTTTCTTAGACATTGAGTTTAAATTAGAAGTATTTTGTTGTTCGTTTTTATGCAAAGGAAATTTAGTTTTAGAATAAGGAGAAATCATATTTTCTTCTGAAATTCGATCATATTCTTTTTTTGCTTCATTTAAATCATCCAAAATATTTGGGGGAATTATTAAATCACAATAAAGATTTTTACGAACGGCTGCCGTTACTGTTATGGGATTTTCACGAAAGCTTGGAAGCGCTAATTTTATTTTTGAAAGTTCAGCTTGTACTTCATTTCCGAAAGCACAAGTTAATTGAACAGTTCCAACACTTTTTGTTTTGGGGGGAATTAAGTGTTCTCGTACGCAAATAATATTGGCTCCCGAATCAATTAACGATTGAACGTCCAGTTTATCATTAACGAAAAATTTTTCATATTGTAATTCATGCTTAGATTCATTAAATATTTTAGCTTTGACTTTGCAAACAGGGTCTCGATTTGAGTTAAATCTACGATTTGAATTAGTTTTGTTTCTGGGAAAGCTTTCGCGGGAATTATTTCGTGATTGGTATTCTGTAGGATTTCTCTCATATGAATTACGACTACAGCTTTGAAATGAGTTATTTTTTTGCCTGTTGTCGAACAGTTGTTGACGGTAGGGTTTTGGACACTGCTGATTTCTTCTGAAATTTTGTCCGTGGTTAAAGGATTGTTGATTATATTTTGTTTCACTTAGCGATTTTCGTTTTGATGTAAAGAAAATATCACATTTTTGAGCAAGTTCTGGAGGTTTCAACCATTCTTCACCTTGAATTATGGCAATAAGCGATTGAGTTTCATAATCTTATGTTGAATGAAGTTTATCGGCGATAATTAACTGGGATAATGTTTTAAAGTCAGTTGCTTTGCGTATTTTGCAATAATACTCGAAAGATGTTGTTAATCATGATGCAAATTGTGTGTGCGATTCATCAGGCATGCGTTGAGATTTTCGAAAATTCATTAAACATTCGTGTGGTGTTGGCTGAAATTGTTTCAAAACGGCATTTTTAACTTTTTCATATTCTCGGAGATCATTTTCTGAAATGTTTAATAAAACATGACTTGCTTTTTCGCCTAAAATATTTATCAATATTTCAGATTTTATTTCATCCTGTACTCTTTTTGTGGTAAATGAACGTTCTAGAGATTGAAAAAAATAAGCTGCAGTTCTCTGGTCTTGTCGGCACAGGCATGCTAAGTGTTCGGACGCTTCTAATAATACTTTCGATATCGGGACGATCTTCACTTGCGTCTGAATTTCTAGATAAGTTCAGGTTGGCACTAGGAGTCTTTCGAAGGTTTGCTAATTCGATTTGGCATTCTAGCTGTGTGAGTTTAATTTTCTGTAATTCTATCTTAGCACTTTCGTTATCTTCGCGGGCTTTTCGTTCTTCGACGGTTGATGAGACTAGATTTTTAACGAAATCTACGTTCGCTTTGAATACATCACTTGATTCAATTAAGCCTTTTAGAGTAATTAACGTAGCATTTTCTGGTACAGTTATTCCTAATTCAAATGCGATCTGTAGTAGATCCTCCTTTCTCGTATTTTCATACATGTTTAGTCATAAAGTTGCTCCTACCTGTATTTCTTGATATTGAAGATAAATCCGTTAATTTTATCCTTTTCGTGATGATTCCAAATATTTTTCCAACGGTGTTGATTTGAAGGAACGGCGGTTTTTTTGCTGTTGATGATCAATGGCAGCAGTTTCGCTTTGCCGGTGTAGCTGTAGGAGGATTCTTGTTTCGTTTTATACTCATGTTGACTTTAACTCAATTGAGATAGGTGTGTGGCCGAGCCCTCATGTTACGGACGGGGAGTGTCGATGAAGTTTTAAAGCAGTCAAGGGTTGCGTTTTAAAGCTTTTATTATGACAAAAAACACTTAAATGGCAATACAACATAATTAGAGCTGGAACATGTTAATGAGCTCTCTCCCCGTAGCCGTTTAGTGAGTAAATGTAGAGGGAGTCTGCTTAACTACAGGTGGCGCTGCATGGCGTATGCAACATAAATCAAATAAAAATATCAATTAGTTTGTATATTTATCATTAACTAACTAACTCCCTGACATTACAGTTCATGTTGGACCATGGCCTCACTAACAATTTTCCTAAGTCGCCTGTCTCTAGCTCTTTGCTTCCAGTTTCGGACTTTTAGAGTCTTAGACCTCGTCTAACCATCTCTTGGCCGGCCTTCCTCTTTTCCTCTGGCCCTGCCCCTTGAATATCTTCTTAGTGCCTCTGTTTTCCTCCATTCTTTCCAGGTGTCCTAGTCATTGAATTTTCTTCGCTTTTACATAATTTATTACATCTTTTTCTTTAAATAGTCTTGCAACTTCAAAATTGTATCGTCTTCTCCACAGATCACCCTCTTTGGCAGGTTCAAAAATCACGCGTTTTAATTTATCACACGCTTTTTTTTAATAAACTTACAAATGCATAGTCTGAGAGGAGAAATTATTCTTTTAGGATTCTTTCAGTGCTGATTCCATTGGAAATCTTATGATTGTTTATTGTTTTTTCAGAAGTTCTAGGTACGCAGTTCTACATGGTTCAGAAAATACCGTTATTTTTAATACGGTTATTATTACAACCTGAGCGAGTTTCAAATGACGCATTTTAATTATCACTTTAGACATACTTTATTTTTACTTATTTCACCAGGTTACCAATTTTACTGATCAATGTAGGTTATTTTTCAACCTTTTTTTTACACTTATTGTTACTTATTCCCATCTTTTTTTATATATATATATAAAAAACTCAATATGATTTATACAACACGAGAAATTCGAACATAGGTTTTTAAACTGTTAACGGTTTTTCAACTTTGCGTCTAATTTGATGCAATTTAAAAAAGTGTTTAAGAAAACCATTTAAGAATCACATTCATAAAATTTCTTAGAATTCACTAAATATAAATGCCCTAAAGTCAAAAATATGCTGAATTGAACAACTGAATGTTGAATTTTATTTTGAGCTATAGTGTATTTGCTTTACTTTAAATTATTTTAGACATCATAAAATTTATTTTATAAATATTTCATTTGATTTACATTGCTTAATAAATATTTTTATTTTCATTCCTGAAAATTCAGTTAATTCATTTTAAAATAAACATTCGTGCCATGTACTGTTAAAGAAAAATCTCTCTATGTTCTCGAAAAATCAATTTTTGATAAGGTAGTTTTTTTATAAAAAAAAGTATCAGCATGGTATTCTGTTTTTGAAGAATTTTATTTTTCAGACGAATTTAATTTTATGCACATATATTATTAAGTTAACTGATTAAAAGAATTGTGTCTAAAGCACTGAAGTTTATTTTAAAATTATCGTAATTTCTGTCAGCAACTTAAATATATTTGAACATGTGGCTTCCCATGGGTCAACCTGCAGTACAAGTGGCCCAAAATTAGCAAGCATTGAGATAATGGTATTGCTTATTTTTTTAAGTTAATAATTGAATTAAAAAAAACTTATCAGTATGTCAGTAAAAAATTTTTGAAACTCTTCATTTAAATATAAAATAAAAAAAGAGACAGCATATGATTTTTGATCTTGGAAAGTTAACTCACTTAGTAATTTTTAAACTTTATGAAAATTAAAACAAACATTTTTCACTTCACTGGTAGATTAGAATTTTTTTATAAAAACTCACCAACAGGAGGTTGTTAATGGAACATAAAATGTAATGAAACCAGTTGAACATCTCTTTTTGCTACTAAGTTGAAGGATAATATTTAATCTGAAATTAGTCAATTGAAAATCTCTGCATATTAGGAGTCATCAATTTATTTATGATTTTTTGGAATACTATTTTAAAATATTACTAAAATTTTCTTTAAGAATTGCTGAATTTTTACTCTTTCAAAAATTATTAATGTTGTACTTGACCTTATTTGTAGCCCTTAGTGGTAAACTGTTAAAAATATTTGGTTAGGAAATCAAATGTTCTTTTAAACTAAGGCTAATAAAAAAAAATTAAAAAGAAAATAACGATGTCATAATATAGTTGATTAACAGGTATTTATCTAATATTTCTAAAATACGTAATTTTCGAATTAATTATTGAACAGATCTAGTTTAGTTATAAGACCTTATATTCCACAGACCAAGATATGGAGCTCTTATGAAAAACATAACCTTATTTATGATTATCAAGATATAAATACAGGGAGAGTAGAAATTCACAATGCCAACCTTCATCGATGAAAAGGTAACTCTAGATTGAATCAAGTTAGCATGTCTTATATACTAGTCAATTAGTGTTTAATAATCGTAGTGGTAGTTATGCTACAATACTTCACTACGAGAATTTTATCAGGGATAACACTAGTTGCGGTATTTGCGAAAGACCGGGAGGGCTGTGTTAAGTTCCCCGGATTTTGAGCACTTGTGGTGAGAGCTGTATTAAGCTAACCAAGTTTTGAGCGTTTTGTCTTGAGAGTTGTATTAAGCTCATGGTTGTGTGTGGTCTCTCCTGTGTTGTTATTAGCAGTCGAGTGCGTGCAGGATCCCAATGTGTGTAAATGAGACTGAGAAGCAATAGTGCGAGGAGAACGAGGATGCGAGTCAACTTTTTGATGTGCACCAGCCATTGAAGTAGGCATGTCCTAATCACAGTGGGCGTTACTTTTGAGGTAAGTGAGTTCATAACACTTCTGGGTCATCAATGTGGGGAAAGTAGAAATCAACAATGCCAATCTTCAACTTCTATAAAAAGGTGCCTCTACATTGAATCGAGTTAGCATGTCTTATATACTAGTGAATTTATGTTTAATAATCAAATTTGAACAGAATATATGCAGAGTTTCTCTTTCATAAAAAGAACAAAAACAAGATTAACAACTTGAACAATTGATTCTTGCAATTTTAACTAGCATTATTAATTAAAATTTAAAAAAATTACTTCAAAACTCCATTATGTTAGAACCTGCACTTGTGAATTTATAGAAATTGGAATGCTCTGAACAGGAACATCAAAAAAAGGAACATAAAAAAGAGTGGCTAAAAATCAGGACGAATTAGAACAAAATATTTTTCATCAGGGAAATCAGAAATAACAGGACAACTACAAGCCTTGCACTATATTACTGATATAGTGCTCATTAAACTTAATAAAAGGATAAAAATATTTAAGAATAAAAAATAAAAACATTGAATAATTAACATATAAACTAAAAAACACATACATTTCTTCCAAGAAAATGGCTGTTTCTAAAGTGACGAAGAGAAAAGGCTAAATAAAAGGTTCCAAGCGTCAAAATCAATGACAATAATGCAGTATTAGGATGTGGAATTTTTGGAGGAACAAAAGCTTCTGTTGAGTTTGTATCATTTGTGAATATGGGAACATATGTTTCATTTAAAGATGGATAAGTACTCAGAAGTGGATTCTCGTTGAATATCTAAAAATAAAATTAAAGTGAATTTTAATCAAGTTTTCAAATAGCAATGAGAGGTGCACAACGTAATGTGTCTTGAAAAAATGAATTCATTCAATATTATACAAACAATTTATACAAGCATTACAGACATGTACAAGTCAAGAAAAAAAAGTATTATCTTAATAACTTTTGATTTAACCATTGCACCAATTTATAAAACTTATTTACCCAAGTAATTTCATAACTTTCATTTGTTTTAATGGTGATAATTTTTTCTGACTGTCAGATATACATTTTTACACCTTATAAAATAATACAAATTAAATTTGATTAATTCTGAGTTAGATTTAAGCTGCCAACTAAACAAGCAGCATGTACACTTAGAGTAAAGTTCTCTCATTGGTTGGAATAGTAGGAGACGCAGATACCAGCTTAAATGCTACCCACCTCTTATGGCGGAATCAAATTTATGTGACCTTCCTACCATAACTATCAAAAGATGAAAGCCTTGAAATATGCTCAATTGTACTTGGCAATTATAATATGTACTTGGCTATGATGATATGTAAACAAACCAGTTGAATAGCCCCGTCTAAAAACAAAAACTTTTACATTTATTGTTTCTAGGGATGTTCAACTAATTTCATGCCAATTTAAATTTTTTTATTATATATTGTATTACTGCAGCGAATTAAAAATTTTTATATCATACTGTTCTTAACTTTTAAATCATTAAATAAAACAATAATAAACAATTATAAACTTTTTTTGCAGCGTCAAATCAGGTCTCTTCAATCAAATCACCTAACATGCTTGAATCATGTAAACATTCCTATTGGTCGTGCTTATTTATTCTAAAACTAACCTCAGTGGCACGACAGCCCATAGAGGGCTCTGGGGTGCAGGAGCAGATGTTCTGGTTAGGTGGTCAGCTAAACACGGAACCCCCAGTGTTTAGTTCCCAAGCATGCTTGGGACTCAATTATCGACCCACTAAAGGAATGAAAGGCTGAGTCAACCTTGCCCAGCCCGAGGATCAAACCCAGGACCTGTGGCACGGGAGAACAAAGCGCTACGACTCAGCGACCAGACGTCGCTTATCTATTTTAAAATGTCCTTTAAGAGAAAAAAACTTAATCAGAAATATAGCAAAATATTGATTGAACAACCTCTCAAATTTTGCTAAGATGCTGAATAATGCAAATAAATTTTACTAAGAGGAGAGAGAGAAAGAAAAAAAGAAAGAAAATTGACCATATTTGATAAGACCAAATTTTTAATTAGGCATGTGATAGGGCCACTTGCCAACGGTTCTTAGAACATGTGATAATACTTCTTTGATAATAATGTTCTGTGAGTACTACATTAACGTTTAATTGAGCAAAATAATTAATAAATGTGAAACAATTTCATCAATGCTAGGATAAGCTTAATGTTTTGTGTTAATAATACCCAATATTTTCAAGTTCATAATAATGAATACTTCTGATTCCTACTTAAAATGAAAGTGTTGATGAGGAGATAATGCTGTTACAGTTTTTTCTGACAAATTAATAATAGATACATTGGTATGTTTTCACTTATATATGTTTTAGGAAGCTATTTGGGAATGTATTTTGTAGACTAACAGGCCCAGAAGAGCATCTAAAAATTTTGTGATTTTTTGAGACCTGTCACCATCTATATTTTAGGGGGTCTTAACTCTACTACAATTGAGGTTGGATTTTTGAAACATTAAGATTTTGTAAAGGGAAAAAATAGTTACCTTAACAACTTTTACAGCAGATTCATAGATAAATATCAAAGCTATCATGGTGGCAAATATCTCCTGTACGAACCTCGAGAAAAATTTCACAAGAATCGAGCCTTCAGCAGCAACAAGAGTTATAGCAATTACTGCAATCCATATTCCAACCCATACTCTTATGACTAGATATTCAGATGAATAATATTCTTGATACTATAAGTGTAAATAAAAAAAATAAGTATCTGAAAATACTCAAAATGTTAAAAGTATTAATTTAGACATTGCATTTAAATAATTAGAAAAAATATTTACAGACTTTCAGCCTTTAACCATTATATGCATACAATATTTGAAAAGATCTCTTGGCAAAAAGAAGATAAAAATGATATTTTCAAAGTTTGATTTTGACAAATTTAACCATGAATTTTTTGTCAAAAAACTAAAAAAAAATCATTTATTTATTGGTGGTCATATTATAATTCAGATGTTTTAAAAGACGTGTTAGTCACAGGTAAAAATTAAGTTTAATTACTAAATGCTACATTTCTTGTATAATTTATCATTTGTAGAAAAAAATTTCGAAAATGCATTTTATTATATTGTATTTTATATATAGACTATTATACATTTAAAAATTGAAGTTTACAAACTAAGCTTACTTTAAAGAAAAAATTATAAAATGAAAACTCAATATTGGAAAAAAAAACACCATTCTAGAAAAAATACAAGCATGAATATATGTAGATTTTGTTTTCAAGCTGCATCATAGTATTTGCTGAAAATGATAATTGTTTTTAAAACATTTTATACATTTCTGACGTTAACAACACCATCTGTTGACAAACTTTGAAACTAATTTTAAAATAAATATTCTAGTAATAAATTAAAATAATAAAGTCTAGTAATAAAGTTAAAATAAATATTCTAGCTTTTGAAGAAAGCACAGCAAACTGTATGAAACTACCTCCTGTATCTGTATCGGACAATGGTTACTTTCTTACAACACGAGGCTGCTCAAATATTACGATAGCATGTTTTTGGCACTATTCGATTCACTCTCCCTGTTTGTTACCTTGTCAGCAAAAAAAATTAAAAAAAAACAACAAAAAAAATTAAAAAAAAAAAAAAAAACGCAAATCCCTTCTATGTTTTGCAAAAGAAAGTCGCAACACCTTTCTCAATGAACATTAGCTTCGATTTTTACTGTAGCAGTCATATTTTAAGATTAGACTGCTAAAATTCAAATAAAAGATTAAACTTTGCACAAAACAAAATTTAAGTTTTCATACAGTTTGTAATGTTTGAAGTAGAATATTTTTTAGAAAATCCTTTGCATTTACTTTTTGTGATGAAAACTCTTCAGTGAAATCTTTTTCCTAAATGTAAAAATTTATTTCCAAATTATTCAAAGTGTAATTTTTTTCTTATTGAATTTTAAAAAAATGGAAATTAAGGGGAATTGAATGTCTTAGACATTCATTGCTCACACCCCTCCGAATTCTCCTGTGAGCAAAAATAACAAACAACGAATCCCCATGCCTCACCCGCTAAGTGCTTGCATAATATTTGAATGGCCAAAAGTGGGTGATACAGGAAAAAGAAATTCCAATAACTGACGATCAAGAAATTTTGAACAAATAATTACTTCATAATCACAATAAAGTTTCACTTTACCTGATACAAAGTTTCATCAATCAAAACCAGAGGTGCCGTTGTCCCTATAATAATTAGAGGTTGACCAGCAAAGAGCGAAAAAATTATGCCACATGTTGAGGTTCCTAAAAGAGTCTCAGTCACCCCAATGTTTTGGTTTGTTTTTTCAGCTGCAATAAAAAATAATCTTTAAAGCATGAAATTTAATAGTGAATAATTATAACTATGTATACAACTTATACTTTTTTAATTTTAACATTTACAATAAGAAGAACAAATTAATATTTTGATCCCACAAGCAAGATGAAAAATATCTTATACTTCGATCAACTAGATTTTTAATAAAATGGCAATATAATTAAATATGTAATAAATGAGCAAATTTAATTATTAAATTTTCGATTAGATAGTTTCTAATTAAATAAATATCTTTTTAATAAATTTAACTAATATTTTTTTTTGTTGAAAAAATTGGACAAACATAGATTTACATAATAGGGTTGTAGTGCAGAGAGATTATTTTTTGATAAAAATAACAATTTTTGATAAAAACAAACAATTAAAGAAAACTATAACTAATTCAATTGAAATCTGCATTTCATGAGATTGTTTTGCCAAAACTATTGTTTAGGAATATTCTAATTATACTTCATTATTAATTTCCTTCCACAAGATTAACTGAAATTATGTCATTCAAAATAATATTTAATTAAAAAAGAAATTGCAAAGAGCAATTATACAAATTTAACAATTGATAACGCGCGAGTTAGTAAACCTTGATTTATACTTAAAAACTATTGATTTATACTTACAAATAAAACTATAAATCTATTCTTAAAATGAAATTTTTTCCCCAAACATTGGTGTGACATTTTAAAATAAGATTTGTTGTCATTCCCTGGGAAGGATAGCTACGAAGTCGTTTTCTTTTTATACCGCCAGATGGCGTTCTTTTTAAATTTGAATGCGTTTGTTTGCTTTTCGTTAATAAACTTTTACTTTCTGTCTGAATCTCTATCCACGGACTACAGTTGGCAGCACGGCTGTGGTTTTGAAAATTATGACGCAGTAAAAAGTTTCACTTAGTTTCGCCGTGATTTACTATAGTGTTCGAATTAATTGGGACAAGCAAGATTTTCTCATTCGAGTTGGTATGGGATTGAAAGTGATGTCCCGAACCGCTTCAAACCAGTTATATCTGCCTTGAGCTGCGGTGACGGATAGACCTTCACTATAATTTACTCGTCTGATTGGTTTTAGTGTATTTGTAGTTCAGTTGTGAGCATTTCAGTGTGGAAACTGGTGGTTATAATTTTGAGTTTAGTGTAACACAAGTTATGTGCTTATAAAAGATTGATATTAGTCCGAGGAAGCGGTCTAAAATTATCGCTCTTAATGAACACACTACTATGACTGTAAGAGACATCGCTACAGCAGTTGGTGTAGGGAAATCTAGTGTTCCCAGAATTCTTAGAACATTTGAAGATTCCGGCTCATCCTCTCCAAAAAGAGAAGGAAAATGTGGACGCAAACGGAAAACTACTCCAAGAACTGATAAAAGTCAAATAAGAAATAGTAAAATTAATCCAAGAAAGACGAGCACAGACCTCTGAAGGGATTTATTGGATTGTGGTGTTGATGTGAGTACTTTAACAGTACGAAAAAAGTTTCAAGAAGTTGGACGTAAAGCAAGAAGACCAAGGAAAAAACAATTTCTAACTCAGAAAATGATGAAAAAACGTTTAGCATGGGCCAGAAAATACCAAAAATGGACTGTAAATGACTGGGAGAAAGTGGTTTTCAGTGATGAAACACATTTATTTGTGCAGGGACACAAATCAAGGGTAGTTAGACGAAGTGAAGGCGAAAGTCTGAGACCAGATCATATCCAACAGACTGTAAAACNGTTAAAAAGTAAAATCCTTCTCGCAGGGGGAGATTGTTGTCATTCCCTGGGAAGGATAGCTACGAAGTCTTTTTCTTTTTATACCGCCAGATGGCGTTCTTTTTAAATTTGTATGTGTTCGTTTGCTTTTCGTTAATAAACTTTTATTTTCTGTCTGAATCTCGATCCACGGACAAGATTAAAGGTCTATATAAAAAATTTTATATATATATATTGTGTATGTATATGTGTGTATATATATATATATTTTATATATATATGACGCCCGGTGGCTGAGTGGTAGCACTTCTCGCTGTTGTGCCACAGGTCCCTGGTTCGACCCTCGGGCGGGGCAAGGTTGACTCAGCCTTTCATCCCTTAAATGGGTCGATAGATGAGTACCAAGCGTGCTTGGGAACTAAACACTGGGAGTTCTGCGTTCGGCTGACCACCTGACCGGAACATCTGTTCCTGCATCCCAGAGCCCAAGGTCAAGAAAACTGAGGTGGGCACAGTAGGCCTTGGCCCTCTATGGGCTGTCGCGCCACTGAGTTTAGTTTAGTTTATATATACATATATATATATAGAGAGAGAGAGAGATTTAAGACCTAATACTTTGAATTCACACCAGTAAACTCGTATATTTTTAATTTTATTTTATTAGCTAGAAACACTGTCCATTTATATATAAATATAAATTTTGAAAACAATAATTACCATACATGACAATTATTGTATTCATGATATATCATACGAATATACTTAAATATCGTTTCCAAGATAAAATTTTAATATATTATGACACTAGAGCTCGTCTACAGGTAGCTTTCATAAAAGATCAACAAAGAATAGCTATAAATATTTTACTTACACAATAACCCACCAAAAGCAATAGCTCCAGACACTGCAGCAAAGTATATGAAAAGTATGGATGCTATGCACTGAAAGTTAAAACTGTCTTTCAAATCACTACAATAAAATGGATATCGATTTTTTATGTCTTGGATAAAGCCACCAAATATCTTTCCAGTACGCTTCAAAGGATCATATGGAGGTGGTTTATCTTCCTCTACAAGAAACAAAAATATCAGGCATTTTAAATTGAATGCAAAATGAAAAACCCATGTAGAGATTTCATGACTGATAGATAAGATAGAAGACGTGACTGATAATAGTACATCAGTTTCTACATAGACATATAAATTTCAAATAATAAATCAATAAGAAAAGCCTACCTTTTAAGACTTTAATTTTGTAAAGTTTTTAAAAGTGAGTTTTATGATAAGATGCTAAAAAATTCTTTCTTAAGTAATTACCTTGATCTTTGATACGTTTAGGAGGAACTAAACTTTTTCTTCTTATTTCATCAACAGGTAACAATGCCTTGCTATCCCAATTTCCAGGAGGCAGAACAACACTATTATCAAGAAAATTGTGGATTGCATGCAAGAAATCATTACGATTGTTAGCTTTATAAGCAGATATGATAAAATCCTGTAAAAAATAATATAAATCTAAGACAAATTTTGCATAATACTAAATCATAAGTTTTAATTTGAATGACACTGACATACAAGTTCAGGATGGAGCAATACATCTTAAATTAATTAGATCAGTGATTGTGCAGATACCTAAGTTGTAATATTTTGAATTGAGGTGTTCATTTCTTTTAAGTATCCACATCATAATTACCTTTCAAAGAAAACAAATCTCTCAAATCATGATTTATCTCTAAGATATGAAATTTACACATGATGGTAAATGCATGATTGGTAAATGCATACTAAATTTAAAATTTGTACATTTAAAAATATTTTTCATAATAATTCATTTTGAATAAAAAAGTATAACAAAATAAAACCTACTATTAATTTCCAAGCTAGTTTAACAAAACTGATTTGACCTTTCAAATAATTAACATATTTTTGGGAACTAGTTTCAAATTTGAGAAATTTTAAAAAGAAATATATGGAACTCTGGTAATTTTTAGAGTTGGTATATGCTTGTGGGCTGAATCTCACTGATTTCAGTAATATTTTTGTGTCTGCATACAAGACATAACATTCATAACAGTGGCTGCTATAACTTTTATCTTTACTACAATTTCAATGTGTTTTAAAAGCTCTTAAAAGTATTATGGATACATCATTACATTATCCGCAATGAGGAAACCCAAAACTTGACATGTCTATTTCATGCTGGTCTATTTCTAAATTTATCAGCAAAGATGAAAAATATATCTTATGTCTGACAGATCATGAGATGAAAGTAAAGAATGAACTTGAGGGACCATAAACACTGGTTGTTGAGGTAATGACAGGAACTTTTTTTTATTTTAACATAGTAACGAAAAAGTTTCTCTCAAAAAGTTGTTCTCTATATTTTCTCAACAAGTACTTTTAGGCTAGTTTGTTACAATGCTTGACCAATGTCTTCTGAATTGGGTTAAAAATTACAAGGCAATGGAATTGAAAATAATAATTGTAAGCCGGCTGTTAAAGACCAGTGATTAAAAAAAATACAGATAGCCGAACTTTTCATATGATTGCATTTGTCAGATAGATAATAGGAAAAAATCAACACTAGACAATAATGCTTCCTTTTATTTTCTAACCGGCATTATGAGTGTGAAACTGTCAAATGTTCAACTGCATAAGGTCTGGATACCTTTGTGGCCATGTGATTAAAGAATAAATCATTTGTCGCTTGCACGTCTAAAACCCTGTTTTTGAACCTCTGTTGAATTAGCAAAAGCTTAATTTTATTCAACATTAAAAAACACTGAAACTACAAGATATGCAGAACGAACTTGGTCGAATTGGGTGTTTTATATTTTAAAACCGTCATTGAACCGCCGACCGAATTTTACAACTACTAATGTTCAACTCTGTAGCCTCTTGGATCAAGCATTGGGATTAACTAGCCTTTATGAAAGACTTTTCGTTCGAAACAATTCACGTTTGCATTAAATGGACAGAAAAACCAGAAGAACCAAACACTATTAGTCTGATGGCAAGGAGATTTAAATGCATAACTTGTCTACCATTGAGGATATTTTTATGTCAACAATGTGGTCAATGCGAGGTAGGATTAGGATTCGTATCCATCAGCCATTACTGGGATTTGTACCTGGGCAGCCTCATTGTTAGGCAAAAGGTCTATTCCTTGGGCCATCAAGGTGCGCACAGCAGACTTGAAGTTTAGAGGTTATCAGAAAAAGTTATGGATCAAATTTGGAATATTTATTGGTAATAGAACTCTGACATTTGAGCAATATTTTTATTTAAACTCAGTCTTTTATTTCTCAAGTTTTCCCCTTCTCTGAATGATGATTGCTTTGATGACAAAACAGTGCAATTGCTAATTAGTGGATCTCATTCAAATGATTGGAGGATTTTTTGTATTAATGCATCAAATCTGTGTCTCTATTTTCTTGTAAATGATTAATTTTTCTGTTATTTTCATTGTCCGTCATATAAAAACTACATCTTCGTGTATACATAGTGTATTATTAAAATTTGGATTACACAGATTATTCTACTATGTAAAATTAGATGGCTGATTAATTTAGCATTTTCTTCCCGTACTTAAAATCTGAAAACAAATTACATTTTAAAAAAAGAGAAATACTAGAGATAGAAAACAATGTACCTTATTGTTTATTAGTGAGCTCATTGATCTACCAATTTCACGATAATCTAATCCTTTATTAGATGGTCCTAGAAGCATGAATATAAAACGAATTTTTATATCAACCTGAAAAATAACATATGTATTAACTAAAAAAAAGTTTACAAAATATCAAAAAGAAATAGCACCAATAAATTTTTCTCATAAACCACATTTTAGCATCAGAATTTAAAAACTGCAATGAATAAATGTTAGTGGATTTGCATTTACCAAGTACCAAAGTTCATGTTACTAATTTCAATTTTTTTCTAACTTATGCATAATTATGAATAGTTACTTGCACACCAAACAAACTTAACAAGTTAGCAAAAAAAGTATTGATAATATTTCCCGTTATACTATTTCTTGGTCACATAAACAAAGGGGGGTTTGTGAAAAATTACTCCACAAAAAAATAAACAAAAGGAAGGAAAGAACAAAAAAAATTTTCATTTGTTGTTAAAATTGATTACATAAACTTTATCATGTGGCACTTTCACATAAGTTTTAAACATAATTATAAATTTTACTAGACACGTTAAAGATTAAAAGTAAATTATTCAATATTATTAGGTAAAGTTGGCTAGTTAAAACTGAAAAACTATTAATAATGATCTCAGAGTGAAAAATAAAATAGAGGTAAATTAATTTTTTAACTTACTTCAAGAAGATTTGCCATTTTTGTACCTTCTCCTAAGCGAACAAATGTGCAAATAGGTCTGTCCAATGTTTCCAATGTTCCAACAAGAACTACAGAACCTTCAGAATTTTCTGGAAGTCTTTTAAGAATACCTTGAACATTACTTTTGTCTTGAACTAAGTTTTTTGACTTTGATGGGGTAATTTCTACATTTGTCTTTAAAAAAAAAAAGAACATAAAGTTAATGAAACTGAATTATTGTACATAGTTACGTGCAATTTTCAATAATTTAATATTCAACTTTCAATTCAAAACAAGGTATGTAATGAATAGGGTATAATGATTTTGCCGAATATTTGACCAAAAAATTGCAAGAAACCTAAATATTCAGCGACTGAATAGTAACATTTTAAAAAATAATCAATAAATATTTTTCATAAATAAATATGTTTAGTCATTATTGTAAAATAATCAGAACGAAGCTTCTATACAAAAATTTTACAGCTGAACATTTCAGTTTTTTTTTAAGAAAAGAAATTAAAGATAGAACCCAAGACAAAAATCCTTCTTAATATTTAAAAGAAAAATTTAATTCTAAAAATCTCACAATTTTTTACATTGCCATATTTTTAGAAAAAAAAATGATGACAAAAAATTAAAGTTTATTAAAACACTCTTTCAAAAAATGCTGCGGCATAAAAAAAATACTGATAAAAAGACTAGTTATTAAATAAAGTAAAGAGAAACAGAAAAACACTTAATTCCTAAAACAGAACTTTAGCATTGAAAATCACCGATTTCTAATTTACCAGTAGTCTATATTATGGAGCAGAAAAAAAGTTACTATAAAAGAATAAAGTCTATCAGAAACACTGCATTAAAATGCTCTGCTGTCATAAAAATTTTGACAAAAAGAATAGTTAATAAGCAAAAGCAGAAGAGAAACAGAAAAAAAATCTTAATTCTATAAGAGTTCTGATAAAAAGAACAGTTAATAAAGAAAAAGAGAAGCAGAAAAAAATTCACAGATTTCTATTTAATCAGTAATCTATATTACCCTGCAGAAAAAAAGGGACATTAAAAGAATAAAAGTATCAAAATTTTAAGACAATCTGCACATAAAACTTAATAAGACATTAAGATTCAATAAAATTTAACAATGTGTAGTTAATAATATTGATAAAATACTTACATGATGATTATTGTTTGGCATTAAAATAACTGTTTCTGCAGCTGAGGGTGATGTTTCATGGTCATCATCATGGTGTTTATTCAGATCATTTTCCTGTTTAAACTTCAAAGGCTTATTGAAAATGGGTGATCTTAGGAAATAAATTAAATAATTAACAGTTTGAAGAATATTTTAAGAAAAATGAACTATTAAAATTTCTTATTGAAACAGTTTTGGTTCTAAAATGATACTATTAAAAAAACAACTAATATACAATATCTGTTTAATTTTTTTTTTAAAATGTCTCACAAAATCATGAGATTTTGAAATTAATATCACCGATAACAAATTATTTTGAAGAGAAGGATTCTTTTTAAAAAAAGAGAAAACATAAGGAATTCTAAAGAAATATTATTTGCAAATAGATTATTTCAAACATAAATAAGACATCAATGTTTCTTACTTTTTAAGGAAATAGCACATAATTAAACTGTGTAACTCCCTAGATCTAGATATAATAGTCACTAGCATTATTTCTTTCTTTTTTTTTCCTTTAAAAAAAGTCACAATTTTTTTAAAATAAATTAATTTTTAATAGAACCCAAGGCTGCATAAAAAGACGCAATTTGAATTCTGATCACAACATTAACTTACATGCATTCATTCTGTCAACTAAATTAAAACAAGAAATGTTGCAAAAAATAATCTTCTATAAAAGAATTTTTTAGGAAAAAAAGTTGAAAAAGCAATGGTTTTGGGAAATACAGAAAGAGGCTTGTCAATTCAAAGGAAAGGTCAAAAGAGTAAGCCTATTCATACTTTCTTGCCAGATTTAACAATAAAAAAATACTTGATTTATAAATTTTAGTCCCATATTTCCTGTTGACATGATAGATAAAATAGTTTATTTTTTAAGGGAATATGAGAACAATATTAATTAACAAAAATGTAATTAATCACTGTCAAATGACAACACATGTGACGACAAAATGATACATCTGATGTCACTAACAATGAAAAGATGGTTAATTACAATTGTGCAATAATTACAGCAGTTATTTATTATGCAATAAATTAAAATTAAAGAATCACTAAAATCTAATTTTTCTTATTTCTTACAGCAGCAACATAAAAGTGCTATTAAAGCAAGACAAAATAATTTCACAGGAAAAAAAAATAGATGGGGAGAAAAACAGTGGAAGAACAACTTTAGAGCAATAATATAGAATACAAGTTACATAGAAAATTCTTATTTAACCATAAATAAATATATTTTAAATAATATATACATACATAAGCTATAAGCATTTTAAAGAAAATAGTTACAAAATTAATAAAAGATTACTGTAGAAATGTTTTCATTCAATTCCACAAACTTTAATTGCAATGGTTTAGTCCTAGTAGGACTAAACTATTAACTACTCACTCTTCATTATCTTTATCACCAACAATGTTATCAGTTTATAAACAAAAATTTATCAGTTTATAAATAAAATTATTTTTAATTTTATATATCACATAAGAATATCTAATCATGGTATAGGATAAGATAGGCTGCTTTATACTGTATTTTCTTAAATAAATAATCAAATAAAAATAGGTGACTGTTGACATTTCTTTAAATTATAAACTAAGTCAATATTAGTTTCCCAGTTTGTTTGAATAGTGAAGTAAGTCAAGAAGATTATTGTTTGTACTTGAAAATTGGTTTGTACTGGTTAATGCACTATTTATTTAAATATAGATATTTTCTAATTTTAAGCAATTTTCTAACATATTAAAAAATAATAAATTTTTTTAGTAGCAATACACTGGTGCACAAAATACAATTAGTTTAAAATTATGAAATCTTTAAGGAAAAAAATAACTTATAGTATATGTAGCCTATACGTAGAAAGCGTCTAATTAATACCCTTTTACTGCAATTGAAAAATTCTAAACTTTCACCCTTGGAAATAGGAAGTTATCAGTTCAATATATATTGCTTTATTCACAGTGCTTTAGAAATATTTACGTAATTACTGTACTTCCCCCTATTTAATGTTCTAGAGGACACAAATTTGGTTTTAAAGAATAAAAAGTCCATGTTAATGTGCAGATATATGCTACAAGCACAAAATGGTACAAAAAGATAAATTTTATATTAGCCCAAAATTATACCAGAAAATTGTGTTTTAATTATCATAACTAATTGCATCAAAAATCTCTGTTTTTAAAATAACTGTTATGTGAAAACATAAAAAATTTTATGTTATTCACTTAACACTTATTAGGAAATTACAAAACATATGCATTATTTCATATCATAAATATTAAAAATCACTTTAAGAATATTGATCAAAAAAATATATTAAGTAGAGGTGCTTCCTAACAATTTGAAAATTAAAAGTTGTGAATAGTAGTACTACAATTTTAACAGAATACAACTTTCAACAAATTTAGTCTTAATAACCAATGAACTCTCGATTCATGAAGCTACAATGTAAAAAAACAACATATAATGCGACATATTTGAAATAAAACCTAAAACATAAGATAATTTGAAAAAGCAAGTCACAATAACTTAGTGGTTAAGGCACAGAACTGTCATTACGATGAGATGAGGTTTAATTCTCAGGGTAAATCTTGAAGCTCAGCCAGCTTCATATCTATTGGTACAAACTGTTCTAGGAAGTAAAGTGGGCCTAAGCGCAGTTGATCAAATAACCACAATGATGCTGTTGGTCACAAAATTGTGGAGCCTTATCCTTTTGGCCCACAGTAGGCTGTTATGGAAATGCTTTACTTTACTTGAAATAGCAACTTAAGTTTACTAGATTTTTAAAAATAGGTATTAAAAATGGATAACAGCTTTGAATGAAAATAAAGATATACAATACAGTAGAAATGGACAGTACCTGTTTTTATCGTGACTTAATAGATTTAAGTTTCCATAACCTGAACTATTTCTTCTCATTGGCATACTTTTATCATTCATGTGTCGGTGTCTATTCATTAAAATCTGCAAAATATACTCTTTTTCATCTGGCTCTATTTGATCAGTGACAACTAAATTTTCTACAACTCTTTGAGCTACACTAAAAAAATCTTTTTCGTCCAAATCTAGGAGCACTGACCCTAAAAATTTTAACAAAAATTGGTTATTATTTCATTTTGGTTTAACAATAGATCATCCAAAAGATAGTTTGTTTCTACAAGTTTTAGAATGCCTAATATTACAATATTCCAGAAATGAATCTATCTTTTAATCACATGTATTTTAAATAAGCTAATTCACATAACAAATTTGGTTTAAACCAAGAATGGCAAAATTTTAGAATAGTTGAATGAATTAAGGTTATTAATTATTAGAATTAGATTATTAGAATTAGCTCATATGTAATTTAAAAAAGCTAATTTACATGGGTTATAAAACTAATATGGTTCAACCAAGGTTGACAAGGTCTTTGGAAGCAATAATAAAAATTATGGTTTTCAAACCCAGTTCAAAATTGTCTTTAACTGTCTAAAACTATATTTTTGAAGTTTCATTTGACAATAATACTTAAGGACAGAGAAATTAGGAATAAACTTTTTTGTGAAATTGGCAAAATATTATTTAATTAATGTTAAGTATGAATCCATGTATTTAAAATATGTTTATTTAATAAAGACAACTGAATTATAAATAGTTTTACTTTGTCACAATTATAACTGTTTAAAAACTTGACATTGTAGCATAGACTTTTGTAAAAATTCTCAACAGTCAAGGGAGAAAAAAAACTATAACTGATATAAAAATATTAAAAAATTATTAATTAAACCATAATTTTTATTTAGAGATCTCATCTATAAATAAACATCAGCCGTTTTAAATAAACAAAACCATTATGAAATTGAACTGTTTGAATATATGGAAAAGTATTTATATAATCTAATGAAGTTTAAACTGAAACTGAAATAATATTTAAAATTAAACATCTATAGCAAATGTTCTTAATTATTAATTATTTATATTTAAGAATAGAATAATTTATATGCAAGCTTCTAAAGACATAATGATTACATTCAAAGTTGAAAGTTTTAATTATTTACAAAATTATTAAGTTTGAATAAACAGGTTTTATTCAATTATAGAGATTCAAATAAATTATTTAGATCACTGATAAAGTCTATCAAATCTGAACAAGAAAAAAAATTACTGTTAATCTTAAGTTGAAATTTAAGGATACAGTACAAAATAAGTAACGGTAAAGGTAAATTTTGCAGCAGTTGCTTTTCCTAAGCTACCTGAACTCTGATTTTACAACTGAAATGAACTTAAGTTTGGGTGAACTGTAAAGTGAGGCTTATTATCTTGTGACATTATTCTTGCCTGGGTGCAATATTTTGAACTAATGAAAGACATGAATCAGAAGCAAAATTGATTTGTGAATTAAAATGAATAGATTCATTTCACTGATTAAATCCTAAACACTATAATAAATCAGTGAATTAAAATGAATTGCAAATCGCTGATTAAATTCTAAAGAATTCATTTAAGCCAATTGATTAAAATGAAAAATGAGAAAAATCAGTTATTAAAACTAAAGATTTTATTTTATCTCTTAGATTACTATCAATCGAATCTAAAAATATAAGCTAAGTTTAAAATCAAATTAAATACACGTTTTTATAAATAAAATAAAAAAACATTTGTTTATAATAATTTTCTATGTTTTATTAGTTTTTGCCTCGAAATTGCATAATGTTTTTAATTTCTACAAATTGCTACTCTGAAATCACTTTAAATGAAATATTTTCATTATTTTTTACACTTATCCAAAATGTTTGTTTTATTAATCATGAATCAGGAAGATAATTAATCAGAGATCAAGATTATTAATCAGAGAATATTGAAATTGCATAATTTTTTTTATTTCTATAAATTGCTACTCTAAAATCACTTTTAATGAAATATTTTCATCATTTTTTTAAACTTATCCAAAATATTTATTTTATTAACCAAATAGTTTCAAATTTTATAGGAAAGAAATAACTAAAAAGTATAGCACCTTGTTCTAAACACTGGCGTAGTTTCAGCATGCTGTGAAACTTTAATGGTGGTACTTTGGGTTTACCCCATCTATTGGGACCAAATTCAACATCTTCCTCATACTTAATCCAACGAGCTGTTTCCCTCCATTCTGTTACTAAATCAGTAACTTGTAATTCATGTAGTTCCACAAAATTCTAAAAAAAATTATATCAAGAAAATATAAAGGCACTTTTTGTAAAAAAAAAAATCAAACTATATTTATAATTAGATTAACATTATTCAAGGCAACTTTTTACTTATGCAAATTATACCATTAAATAAATTAAAATTATTTGAAGCATTAGATTTCAAATTAGGCTTTTCTTTTTTTAAGATTGTTTTTAAAAGTTAACTTCCTTCAGGCTAGTAAACAAGCAATTTTGTATTGTTTTGTTTTTCAAACACAGCTTTTTCAAGTCTGGTAAAGTTAACTACTTAAGTTGTTTTGCACAAGAGCTAGAAAATTTTAACACTGTACAATGTGATATAGTTTATAAATAGAGTCGCACCACTCATTTAGTAAACATATATATAAATTACTTTTGATAAATTAACTTACACTAAAAACTAATTTAAAAAAAAAAACAGTTACCATGCTAATAGCATTATAATACCATGTTAATAGCATTATTGAATTACAAATGTGTTTATATTTAAGAAAAATTTAAGACAAGTTATTTTTCAATTTCATATTCTAGTTTTAATAAATCTAAATTGTAACCTTGATGTAGCAAAATCGCTACAAGAATTTTTTAAAATAAATGTTAAGTCTTATTTACTTTGAGCCTCAATAGAAATTCATTGCAATCTTGCATTTTAAGATTGGTTTATTTTTCAAATTTGTTTTAATAATTTTTCAAGTTTTTACAACAACAACAAAAAAAAAATAAATTAATAATAATGTTCCAAAACTTTTTAAATTTTCAGTCAATTTTTAAGTGTCACTGACCTTGTGAAAACCTTGAGTAAAAGTTTCATTTCTCGGTCAAAATGAAACAGATTAGTTGACAACTATTGACATTTTATCAGTTGAACTAATGCTGTTGGAGTTACTAACAGCAGACATATGAAGTTTTTAAGAATTAGATAAAGCATTAAACATTTTCATTTTGATTTAAGTGAACTTCTAAAGAACAAATAAAAGACGATTACGAGATACAAATAAAACAATGTTTAAAACTCACAAATAGTAAACTCTTTTATTAAAACCCATACGCGTTTTGGTGCGTCACATTGGTATATTTTCTTCAGTAAGAGAAATAGCAGGAATGATAAATGAGTTAATGTAATTCAACAAAATTTACATCATACTAAAGAAATAAATATATAGCTAAATTAAATAAAATTGTCAGTAAGTGTTAAAAAATTTAAACAAAAATGCTTTACAAATATTTGAAAAATATTGTACAGTGACAAGATTATTAACAATAGATTTCATTTTTGACTATGCGAAAAGTCTCCCGGATATCTAGGTCAATGCATGATAGGCATTAATAAATGCTGTAAGGTGAAGAAAAACTGAGTCTATAACCTTCAAACCAGCAATGTTTTGTGACAGATAGGAACTACACTAAATTTCGAACATAAAATTAGTTTTCGAACATAAAATTTTACAATTTAACTATGATTTTAAGGTTTTATTATTTAATTATGATTTTTAAACTTAGTTTAAATAAAATTTGAAATAAAAGACAATTTTTAAAAAAGTGAAGGAAAATCTCCTGACAATTTAATTATATAGCCACTAGTAATCTAGTATAGCAATAGAATTAACATGGAACTAATTTTGAGATTTACATTAACATCAGTATATTCAATTCCGTAACAAATGCAAAATAGCTGAAGCAGAAAATACTAGCTGTCTCCAGGGGAAAAAATTGAGCATACCTCATGGGGATCATGATCAAACACTTTCTTAAATGGTATAGTCTTATATGCTCCATCCTCTTTAGTGGAATTTAATAGAGAAGCCACAGATGCCTTATCTTGGATTAAATGCCTTCGAATACCCTTTGGATCTTCAAAACGATGACCTTTAAAATATTGCTAAATTAGAGATTTTCTTTAAAAAAATTAACTATAAAAAATTATAAAATAAAAACAAGCATTTAGAAGAAGAAATTGGTAAAATTTGCAGCAAACAGAATTTTCGTGTAAGTCCTTACTAGCCATATCATCAATATCAGCAGTCTGAAGAGTTTCTGCTTCTTCTGGCTCCAACACAGTAGTATAGTTTTTGACATCGATATTAAAGCCATGGTGTTTTCTCCTAACTGAATGTCTTCTGTAAGATCTGCCATAAGGAAGAAATCTATTTAAAATATATGCTTATAAATTCATTTTAAAAAATTCTTAATTTGAGATTCTGCACATGAAATAAAGAAAAGAGAATATATATTCTCATTTGTTATTTATACAACAGTTTTAGTTTTGCTTCTGATGATCTATGTAGAACTTCTTCATTTTCGAAACACATATTAATTTATCTGGGAAAGTAATATCAGCTCTATTTAAAAATAAATTACCTGGCATAGTCAAAAGTAACAGTCGCCACCTGCCTGCTAAATATAACAAATGTAGATACAAAAACTATCTGCCAGTCACCACTATTTTTGTCAAAAATGCTCCCCATGTGCATTTGATTATACTTTTCTATTATTATTTGATTTATTATGAATATTTTATAATAGTCCAAAAATTACCTAATTAATTTTACTCTAATTAATTAATTTTACTCTAATTAATTTGACTCTCCTGACAGAATTTTGTGTGAGGAACAGGTAAACATAAAAGGAGAACATCTCTGGTACATGCCCTCTAACAAGCTCACACTTAATGTTTCAAGATGCTCTACAGCACTGGAGATAATACTTTTTTGTATTGAACTATGAAACTTATTATGCTTAATAGAGCAAATATAAGGATATAATTATAAAACAAGTTTTATTATTTTCCAATAATAAGATTTAAGCATAAAAATCATTTTAAATATTATATCCTAAATTAAAATCATTAACAGTTATTTACTGTAGCTTAAGAATAACACATTAATTATAAATATTTGTTTAGTAGTTTATAAAGAGTTTTACCTGTGCTTACTTGGCTTCGAATTTTCATTGATCTCTTTTTGTAAATCATTTTTTGATTCTTCACCTGCAAGAAAGAAATAGCAATTAATAATTCAATTCTTAAAAGTCACTTTTATTGTTCCAACCATTGTACATAATGCTAGATTTTGAAAGGAACTTGGAAATTATGTTAGACTTATTTATATTTAGGCTCTTTGTTTTCAATTTAAAATAAATTCTTTTTATCACATTTAAATTTATTCTATTGCATTTTCAAACAATCATAATTTTTCAGAATTTACTCTGAATGATTAAGAATTAATATTTAAGCAATAATTTAATAATTCAAAACCAAACAAAATTTTTCAAAAAAAATTGAAAATTTTATATTAAAGTAGAAAATTATATTACATAATTTTGTTTTTAATTTCCAAATTTTGATTTTTTATCCTATTTGGTTTTATTTTAAGGAATCCTTTTTAAAAGACCTTCAGAATTTTGGAAGATTTCTTTCAACTCAGTCTAGTGTTAATATGTTAAAGTATAAAATAATAAAAATTACTCTAAAGCTCATTTTTATTTTTAGAGTTAAAGCAATTAAGAGTTTTTTAAAGCAATTAACAGCAAGCTTTCATTAAAATTCGAAATGAAGCAACTATTATCAAAATGAAAAAATGAATGCATTTATTTCAATTCATTGACAGAATTTTTATGATTTTCTTTCACATTTATGGAGCGTTTACATTCAACCAAAAAATAACACAGAATTTTTCAGAAATTTTTTATAGTTTTAAGCAATTTAAGAGCTGTTAAGTTATTTTCATATATATGTATATACGTATAGAGAAAGAGAGAGAGGAAGAGAGAGGGGGAGAAAGGACATGGAAAAAGATAAAGATTTTTTGAAGGAAGAGAAAAAAATATTAAAAAAAGTTTTTTAAAAATATTTACAAATTGATAAATAAAACAAAGGAAAAGATATTTCGTCATCAGCTCACACAATTATATCTGCAAAAAAGTGCTTTCTAATATTATTTTAATACAGCCAAAGCAAAATATATCAATAGATTAGTGTGAGGAGCATCAAAAAATAGAAACAAAAATTGAACTTAATAAGCAAAAAAATTCAAAATAAAACAAAAAATTCAAAATAAAACAATCAAGAATAAAAGCTTAAAAAAAATTTGAATAAAACTCAAAATGCAAGAGCAAGCAAGAACAAGTATAAAGCAAGTAGCGAATTCAAATGTACTTACAATTACAATCATTTTTCAGTAATGATTTAAAATGTTTTCATAACAAGTTTGCCAGATTACAAAATATTAGAATACAAGTGTAAATAGAGGATGAAGGGATCATCTTATGGCACGTTCTTACTGAAGTACAGGACTGCATTTTATGCGTTAGTTACCTTGGATTGGCCCCCATCTGGATATGCGCAAGGTAAGAATATTATACTAGATAATTCAATGTGTAAAATTAATAAGGTTGAATTTTAATAATAAAATTTTAATATTAACAAGGTTGTTTTAAGAAATCATTAACATTTAATTAAAAAAATGTATTTGAAAAAATTCTTTGTTAAATATTGGAAGATTTTTCCAGAAGATGCTTTAATTAAAAATTTCTTCGTTAACTAAATTTATATTTTTACCATATGCAAATCCAATTCGAGCAAATCCATGGCAAGAATTTAGTGTAATAATAAATTAAAATTGGTAATTAATTCACTTCAAATTTAAAATGTTTATTTGAAATTACAACCCTTACTAAAATACATATAATTGACTGACATTTTAAAAAAAAAACATCCTTGCAAAAATTAGTTTACATCAAAAAAATCATACTTTCACATATAATCAAAATAGTTTGGCTCACAAATATGGTTTTCACATTATATGTTTATGAAATTTAAATAAGCGCTCCACATTAAAAACTAAGTTCTAAAATAAATAAAAGTAATTTCAAATATGATTACCAAGCATGAACTTCACTTTTGGCTTTGAAAGGTCAAAAGTACAAGAAGAATCCTTCAACACTTTAGTAGCATCACCAGCATCAACAGCGGTTTCTTGGACAGTCCCTCCTTTATCTTCTTTGGGGGAAGTTGAAGAATCTTTTGATAGGCTGGAAGGGAAGATGGTTTTGTCTTCACTCACAGAAGCTGTGTAACAAAAGAGAAATTCTAACGCTTTTGCGAATTAAAAATATACTCTGTCACATGAAATGCTTTTTTTTTCCATCAGGTACTGGTAGTTATTAGTCTGATATTGTAATGGAGGATTTATGTTTAAGGCTTACGTTCAAGTGTTAAATATCTAAAGTGCAAGAAGCATAGAAAAGGATTAAAGATTTTTAAGGCTTTTTTTTTTTACCAGATTTTTAAGAAATGGGACAGCATTAACCGTTACATTTTAAACAAACACACTGCTGTAAAATAATTTGCAATATAAAAAGTGAGGATTCATCTTGTTTTACTCTATATCAGAAATTAGATATTGGAAATTAAAAAAATAATAAATTATTTGCTCTGAAAAATTATGTTTGTGCTTGAAAAATTTTCTTTTGTCTGAAACTACAAATTGAATTATAACTTTTTCTTATTAAATTTGTAGCATAAAAAATTACTCTTTCACTTAGTTTTACTCTATAAAAAAGTATGAAACTGAAAATTTGTAAAAAACTATAAATAAATTGCACCATTTATTGAATTGTTTTCTGAAAAAGAAATTTTGTTCCCCTTACACTTCAATTAAATACTATTTTTTATTAAATTTACAAAATAAAAAGTTATTTTGATTCACTTAGCTATGCTATACAACAAAAGTAGAAAATTGAAAATTTGGAAAGAAAATAATTATGAATTATTTATTGAATCATTTGCACCATTTATTGAATAGTTTTTAGAAAGTTAATTATCCTTTTTTTCTAGGTTGAGTTTCCTTTTACTTATTTTTTTTATAAATAATGCATATCAAGGTAATTTTACATAAAAAATTATTTACCTGCATTAGTTAGTAAATTGTAATTTGAAAGTTTGTTATAATGAATTTAAAGAAAATATAACAGCAGAGCTTTTCATACTTAAACATTAGAATAAATTAGATTAATATAGTACTGAATATATATAATATTGCATACTATATATGGAATAGCACTAAATGCACAGTCAAAACCATAAGAATTAGATTATATGCAAGAATTTAAAAGCACAAGAGCCTTAATCTACTGCAATATGCCAAACTTAAACAATGTAATATACTCAAAACAACCAAATTAAAAATTGCTATCACATATTCATTAACCTTACTTAGTTTATTGTGTAAATGCAATTTTCTCTAAAATTTGCAGGTTTTTATTATTTATTTTTTTAAAAAAAAACTTGTTAATTTTAGTTTACATACGAATAAATGCCTCAGAAATAAAAAATTTTATTAGTGTTGTTTTTAGCACATAATCAGTTATAATGAGTCCACGATTTTTTCAAATTTAATCATACATTTATGAATGTGAATTCTTCTTAAGTATGCATAAAAAGTATAAATCAATTTTTTGAAAGAGTTGCATTAAGAAGACTCTTTAAAAATGACTGTAAAATAAGTTTATGATTTCATTCGAAACGCTGCAAATTTGCAAAGCAAAAAATGGTGAACTATATTGATAGTATTTTATAATATTAAACAATCCGAAGTTGAAATACACTCAAAATGCATGTCCGTTTAAATGTCTAATGTAAAAGTTTAAACATAGTTCTAAATTAAAGCTTTTTTTCACTAAACAAAAGTGCTAAATCATTATACAATTTTTTGGAATAAAATATTCATTTGGTTATAGAATAACAAACAACAAATAAAAGCTCTACTGAGTATAAAAAATTATTGAAATAAAAATTTGGGAAATTTTTATCAGTGCAAAATAATATTTTAACTATATTAATAAGAAGAAGCAAAAAGTTTAGTTTTGTATGAAATATCATAAATTCAAGCTAATGTAACAAATTATCTTTTCAGATCAATAATATGATCACCTTTAAATCAAATATTTGCACTAGAAATTCAGTGAATATTACTCAATTTTTGCTAGCCATTATTAAGCAAACAATAGTGCAAAAAAATACACCAGAAATTTTTTTTTTTTAAATAGTGCGGATAATAAAGATTTAAGGTGTTTTTTCTTAACTTAATTGGTACAACTGCTAAACCAAATATCAATTTTTATTGCACTTCATTCATAGCACTACATTTTTAATATCTACTTATTCTATTTGGCGGGAAAAAATATTTGAGATAAGAAATTATGCAAATTATCAAAATGAAAGAAAGCGATTTTTAAAATTCATTTCTGTACTAAAAAACACCTTGCTACCCAAATCCCAAAATAAGTAAGCATGTTCCTCATTTACAAGTAATTGTTTAGTACGCATTGCAAGTAATTTTCAGCATGTATTATAAGTAATTGTAAGATCAAGTATGTTTGTAATGGTCTAAAATCTGCAAAATTTTTATTTTATTTTATCTCCAATAAATGCTAGAACATACAACTATTTTTTTGACATTTCTTTCTTAAAGAAAAAAAATCATAAGTGATATTTTACTGTAATTTAAAGCATAGGATCAATTTTCACTTACATTATGTATATTTTTTTCAAACATATTCTTTATAAATATATTTACAAGATTGCAAACAATATAAAATAAATTACAGCATTTTTAAGCAAAAATAAAAAACTTTTTTAAGATAAATTTATTCTTTTTAGCTTGAATAAATTTACTCAGACTAATTTATCATTTACTTTATTTAAAAAAATCAGGTTTAATACCTAGTAGCTTAAAACGTGAACATTCTTGAAATACTACATTAACTCCTTCAAAAATAATCAATGATTATCTCCATGTCTTGTAAAAATAAAGCTATAACTTTCTTTATAATTGACATTTTCTATTTTAGATCTCGAAGTAATTAACTAAAGTACTGATCTAAGCACATGACACTTGATAAGGTAAAGGTTTATTACATACAGCGCATATTCATACGAAACTTACTTTTAAATTCTATCAACAGGGATTAGTCTAAAAAATTGTGGACAGAGCATATTTTACTTTAAAACGAAAAACTGTTGAATTTATTTAATATTTGAAATTTCAAAATGATTTTACTACAAAATGATTAAAAACTTTTTTCTGTTATTACAAACTAATTTATATATTTTTTCACATACTCTCAAGTCATTTCACAGATTTCAGCATTTCTTGCTTGAATATAAGTTTATGACTCCTGATGAGTATACTTTTTTACAAGTCATTTTTGGCATGGATTATAAAATATTTAGGATGGTTATTACAGAGCACCTTACATATATAATTTTTATATTTTTTAAAATTATATTTTTAATGTTTGCAGTGAAAAAATCAAACCACTTTTTAAAGCCAAATAAATAATTTTTTTAAAGTAAAGCTAAACTTTTTCTTATATCTAAATTAAATTGATATAAATATATATTTTGTTTTTTAAAAAAATAATCTTCATATGAATCATGATTACTCCACTCAAATTGTTTTAAAATTGAATGACACTGGAACTCTAGAAATATTAAACAAAAATCATGATCCTATATTATAATACATTCATAAAACAAATCAAACATTGTAAATTATCATCATACAAGGGCAGTGATCAAAATGAACCATTACTCACTTTAAATCAATGGGGCCACTTAATAGGCCACGAAGTACAGATTTCAGTGGAGGTTTGTGTGACTTATTGTTATTTTCTGATTCAGATGGAGGTGCGAGGACATGCTCTAATGATGAGGAACTTCCGACATAAAACTGAACTTTGTCATTATGATTATTTTCTTTGGATGAATTCACCTAAGAAAAAATGGAATTCTCTAGTTAGAATAAAAAAAATAAGTTCCCTCAGTTTAACATATAAATTTTTTCAGGATTCATGATTTGTAAAATGCATTCAACTAAGTTATGGGCTATTCATTTGCAACATTTTGTTTCCAAAATTACTAAAAGTCTAAGACTGAACTTTTGACAGCTGACAAAAACCTTTATACAATCTCACACCGCTATAATGAATCCGGGATATAGTGAACATTCGGTTTTAGTGGCCCCATCTAAACTATTGTTATTTCAGAAGCTCATAGTGAACTGCTAAAAAATTGTCAGTTTGCTTACAGTGAGCATATTTTTTTTTATGGGTACTTAACGTTTTGTTAAAGTTTTTAGTTTAAGACATACATTCAAAAGTATACAATTCTAAAAATATAGTCAGTCAGAGTCATTATAAATAAGTGTTTGTCAATGAATGCGAGCGATTCCAAAAACAGATACATAGAAGAGCGAATCGGTTGAACATAAATGCTAACTTTAATTGCAGCATTTTTTTTTTAAACTGATGGGGAAAAAAGATAAACATCTAAAAAAATTCTAAAAACTAGCAAAATTTGAAAAAATAGACAACTACTTCTTTGTATGGAGAATATTTTGTATGTCATTTGATATTCTGATTAAAAATTTCATTATAAGAAGTATTTCACTGCAATGCAACTATTGTTACTATTATTGAGACATATTTAGCCAGTTAATAATTGATAAAGCAAATTATGTGTTATTGCAGTCACTATTTCTAACAATACTAGTGCAATATGCTAAAAAATATTTTTTCATAGATTTTGGATGTAATGAATCACTGTTTATACTGAACTTATTGCTGGGACCACTATTGCGGGATTTGACAGAAGCAGAATACTGAAAAGAAATGCATGACAGTAGGTGGAGACATTAACTTGAAACATATTAAATTGGTCTGTAATTCACATATTTTCAAGAATAATTAGATCAGAAGAGGAAACTAAAAGCCAAACCTATTAAAACAAAAGTTCGAATATAATACCAATAGGTAAGGTTTTAAAACCTTTGCTTCTCCAACTTTGTATTACAAATTGAATCAATACCAGTAGTGTATTGTTTTCTTAAAAAGCTGATTTTCATTACTACACTATAATTTCCATTTTTGAATTTAAGTACCACAGCATAATTTGTTTTTGTCTAATTTGTGAACTACTTGTAATTGCATACAATTTATATTCATACAATTTATAAATTTCACATCAAGATTAGAATTCAGAATTGTACATCAAAACTAGTTCAGTTAATAATTATGCACCATGATTCACATTAATGATTCACATAATTATTAACTGATTTCTGAATCATGATGAATCATAATTATGAATCATGATTTATTGAGAGAAAAAAAAACATTGAATATATTTTATCTTAATGATATCTTTTTGGGCGTTATTTGCACCAAAAGGTATTCAAACGCCGTTTAGTAGCAAGATTCAAGGAAAATTTTTCTAACAAGGACACTTTATGTAAACTTATTATAAACAAGTGGTGAGAAATTATATACTTTTTCCAAAGCAAAAAATAAAAACAAAACATTTTAATCCATGAAATACAAAGCATACTTGGTTTGCTTGAAGAGAATTATCTGTCACCCCATCAAGCAAGACAGCAGCGTCCTGTGCCTTTTCTTTTTCTTTGGACAACTCCAATGCTTGTTCCTCTGGGACTTTCGACATATGAGATGCAGATTCATCAATACTTTTCCTGCTATATGATTTTTTATGCTTATGGTGATATAGTTTTCGAAGTGGCTGATGATATTGAAAACTCTCTCTTCTGTGCACTGCATTAAAACATTACATACAATTATGAAGGGATACAGTCAATAGAATTAAATTTACTAATTACAGGGTGCGTAGCCAAATTAATCAACAAAAAATAAGCACCTTTTAAGCACTTTTCAAGCACTAAAAAAATATTTTTAAGCGCTTTAAAAAATATCATAATTAAGCTGGGTTGGAAAGTTTTTGACAACCAATGGTTTTATCTTGTTTTAACTGTCATGTCCAAAAAAAAAAAAAAAAAAAAAAAAAAAAAAAAAAAAAAAAACTTTCAGCATTGTTTTTGACAATTGTCAGAAATTATGAAATTCTGAATCGTGTAAAACGAATGACGTTTTCATACTCTACGGACTGACTATATGCCGAAATAGATTGGGATTGAATTAATTATGAAAACATTGAATAGAACAATGTGAACTGTGTCTTTTTGCATAATTCGAAGCGAAAATCAACATAGTAAAGAAAAAATCTCATTTTGAAAAAGGGAAAATCAAGCACTTTTTAAAAACATCCAATGAAAAAAGCACATTTAAGGGTTTTTAAAAAACTAAAATCGAAAATAAGCATCTTTAAACACTTTTTAAAAACGCTACACACCCTGAATTAAATAGTAACTAGGCATTGAAATTATAATTTTTTTTAAAAAAAGTTTGAGCAGTGTTCATTTGTTGATAACGACTGAAGATTCTGTTAGCATGCAGCGGATATTGACATTACTAAAAACGGTTACGATAACACATTTCTTTTAACATGAATGACTTGACTAAACATGTTTCTATAATTTCCACAAGATAACAATTTAATACATAGAAACACATTGCATTCGACATGGAAATTGTGGTGTTTTACAGCAAAAATTTTAACTTTAAGGAGGACGACACAGTAGAAATTTGTGAAAGAGTTTTTAATGGATTATGCAATGATTGTGATTAATTTAACTACTAAAAAACAGACATACTAAAAAATGAAAGAGTACTAATGGATAAGTAAAAAGTAAAGACAGACATAAACTTAGTTTCAAGTTATGTTGCTAAAAAAAGGGTATTCAATATGAAATTTTTTTTTTTAATAAAATCTTAATAACTAAGAAATTTCTTATTTAACAAAACACATTTTAAAAGCACTTTAAATGTAGTAGAATTTTTTTAAAATCTCACTCACAGTTATAATCGTTTTCATCAAAACGAACCCTTCCTTCAATTTCTCCATCACTACTGAGATTAGCAATAGAACACTGTTCTGCAGGAGGATGAAAAATGTCTTCCATTTCTTCATCCAGATCCTCATCTCGCCAATGTTTCCTTTCATTTGAGTTTGACTGCAAAAAAACATTATTTGAGGATTGTACGAAACATTATAGTTTTTGCATTTAAATTAAGTGAATATATGATTGTGTAAGCTACCCTTTTAGTTTAAATTACTTCAATGGCATAATCAGTAGTCGGAAATAGTGTCTTATAAGCGGAACAACTACTATTGTTGCTAGTTTTTTCCTTAGTTTGTAGTGTAGTAAACTACTCTTTCATAGAAATAAATAAAGTGATGTGTGGTACAAAAAAGTAGTTTGTAGCAACTTTTGGCAACTAATTTTAATGCTAGTTTAGTAAAGAAACAAGGAAAGTTCAAGAGCAACTTAATCTTTTGAACCTGACTGGTACAAATCTTCACTGGTCCATCAAATGACATAATGTGAATGTCACAGTAACTGAGCGTTAATAAGAATAATGTACTACTAATATTTAAATTAGCCAATGGGAATGATAGTTAATATATCGCTATTGCAACACCTTCAAATGCTAATGTACACTCAGTTATTATCATGGAAGGGAACATATTTTCTCTGCATTTCTTACAGGAAATATAAAATCAGTGCACACTTAATAAAATTGCAAATGTATCATAATTTCCTGACATTTCTAACTAATTTTTAATTTCTTAGCTTATTTAAAGCGATATAATAAAATACTGTTTGCAGATAAATAAAAAATGATGGAGAAAATGCAATTAACAGTAAAACTGAGCAATTGCAAAGAACTTCAGACAGAAAAGTAATGGAAAACTATTTATGCAAATCATTTATATTTTTCAACCCATTCTTGGATTTAAATCAAAGAACAAACTGTTAAAATTTACATTAAAAAATACAAATGTATTTTAAATTTCTTCTTTTACATCATTCATTGATGTGAATGACAAAAAAATAATTGTACCTAAGAATAATGTAACAAAATATAATTTTTATACATTTAACTAAAACAAGATTTACAAGATGTGACTAAATTAAGAATACTTTTTTAAAAATAAATAATAAAAGAAAAAAAAGATAAATTTATTAGTATATTAATAAAAAACCTTAATATTTATTTTAACAATGATATACATATATGAAATTTCTCCTTTTCCCTTTATTAATGCAAAGGACAATAAGAATTTTATAAAAATAAAATAAAATATGAATTATAAATTTTTATATATTACAAAGAACACTTGAACCAAATAAGAAAAAAAACTAAATTGAGAAACAAACAAAAAAACTAGTCTTGTAAAAAAAAGTTCAAAATTTAAATTTTATATTGATATACCAAAATTTAATTTTTACTTTCTCTTCTATAAATGCAAAGAACAATAAGAATGTCATTAAATTAAACAATATATGAATTATAAATATGAATAAGAAATATGATATATGAATAAGATGAAATTATAATATGAATAAGAATGTCATTAAATAAAACAAAATATGAATTATTTCTTCATTAAAAAATGAAGAAATACTAACTCAAGTAACTATAATTATAAATTTATAGTTACTTGAGTTAGTCAGAAAAAATTTGAGCAAAAGAGTTCTTAAAAAAAATAACAAACAACATGAAAAGGAAACTCTAAAATTTAAGAATGTTATATTAATTAAATAAAATATGAATTATGAAATATTTGATAAATACAAAAATCATTTTTTAAAAAATGAAAAACTAGTATCAATGGAAACTTTAGTATTTATTTTAACAATAAGTGAAATTTTTCCTTTCCCTTTCATTAATGCAAAGAACAATACGTACGTTATAAAAACTAAACAAACTATGAATGATAAATTTTTTATATAATTTTAAGAGCTCTTGCATTAATAGTTATGAAATAGACTATATCACAAACTGTTTTTATTCTGTAAAAGAAGAAAAAGAAAGTAATAAATTTGATTGAATGAATAACTAACACAGTCAAAATTAAAATTTTATTTAATAACATAATTGAAAAAAGTAGAATTAAATTTTCTATTCTATAACAAACTCACCCTGTTATAATTATAATTTGCTACTGAATATCGTTTATCATCATTCGAATTTCTTCTTTCCATCATGAGCTTTTAACTAGAGTAAAAAATTTAAATAAGAAGTTAATGATTTATAGTGAAGAATTTCAGCACAGAAAACATGTATGCAAATAAATGAAAATTGCAAAAATAATATCTTATGAAATTAGGCAATAGTGTACAGAGGAGAACAATTTCTGAAAAAAGGAGTACAATAATGTTATCTCTGGTATATAATGTTCTATATACATTATACATTATATTATAATAATGTTATCTTTGGAGGGAGTAGAAAACTTATTAAATTAAAAGGAAAAAAAACGGTGGAACTTCATTATTTTTACGAAAATAATTATATTTTATAAAGTAATATATTATAAAACTATTGTATTTTTACACATTTCATTATTATACATAACATTATTTTATGTGTTATTACATTTGTATAAAGATTATATTTAATATTTGAACAAATGCATTCATAAGATTTAAATCCATATTTTAAATTAATTTTAAGTAGATATATACAACGAAAATCATTCTTTTGCAAAAATTAATTATTTCCAACAAAGCATTCTTAAATGTAAAAAATATTTACATTTTATGACCTAAAACATAATTAAATTGGTTTGGAAATCATACTTTATTTTCCATGAAATTTACGTGATAAAAATAAATTTTTTTAAAGAAAATAATACTAATTATCTACATTCAGATTTAAGTTTTAGTATAGCTGCCGTCCGGATTGTGCAGTGGTCGGAGAGCTGACCTCACATCAGAAAAGGCATGGGTGTTCTTTTATCTGTACTATCTGTCCTTACTGTGGGAATAATGTTAGCCCACCTAATATGATGCCCCTGAAAGAGTGACCAACAAATCTACCCTATTGATACCTGAATGACGAGAGTCAATCGGGTGGGTATTGGAGGGAGAAAAAAAGTTTTAGTTTAGTTAGTGGTCGTTTCGATGCCCTCTTTGAACTTCTCTCTGCACTACACTGAAATCGATCAATAATGATAGAACAAATAAGTCAGGTAGTAAGTGTATTGAATAAAATTCAATTTACTAGAAACGTTTGTAGAAAATAAAATAAAAAAAATATTTTTACATTCTTCTGCTTAATTCAAAAAGCAATAAAAGTGGCATTAATTCAAAGGTCACAAATGATTAATGGAGCTCACAACTAAAATAACGTTTAAAATTTTCAGATCCATTTAAAACTAAAAAATTTTCTGTTTTGTTTATGAAATAACGAGGATAATATTCACATAAGGATTTTGGATACATTTGGTAAGCACAATCAAAATCTATTTGTTTTATTATGTTGATATCATGAAATAAAATCAATGTAACAATGTTTTGCTTATAAATTTATAGTTTATTAAAATTGTTACTAGATTATGTTTAATAATTAATGAATATGAAAGTTATTCTTTAATAAACATATATGTAATCAAATTAATTTAAAACATTCTAAATAAGAGTCTTATTTACCATAATAAATTATCTCTGAACTTAAAAAAAAAAAAAAAAAAAAAAAAAAAAGACTTAAATAGAAAAAGAAAAAAAAAGGACTTAAATTACATTTAAGCTTTCTAAATGCACTAAAGTAACAGACAATTATGAAAACTTAATAAATGCCATGTGCAATTAGAATATTTTCTTATTAATACTATTTTCCTCCACAAATAAAAATATTTTATTTAAAGCCAACATATTTTATACTACATCTATATAACACATATGAAAAATGATGAAATAAAATCATTTTTGAAGGGAAAAAATAAATTTGAAAACATATAAAATTTATATTTCCCACCAATATATTAAAAGCATAATTATGAACTAACAGAAATTGGAAAATAATGCAATTTTTAAGAACTAATTTAAGACTGGCTGTGATCAGAATTACAATATATAAATATTCAAAAAGTTATATGCCATGTCTACTTTATTGAACAAACAGAAAACTGTGGATAAAAAAAAATAAATAAATAAATAAATAAATAAATAAATAAAAAAAAAACCTAAAACAAACATTATTAGAAGCATAGGTGATCTAATTAATTTACAACGATCTTAATAAGAGTCTCATTTATAATGGTAAATTACCTTTGAACTTTAAGAAAAGATCCAAATTATTTATTAGTGCATTTAGGGCTTTCGAATTACACTAAATTGGCATACCTTCGAACTTAAGAATAAATGCCTTAAGCTCAACATTGAGATAATTATCTAATGATAACAACCATTTACTTAAACTTACCTTCAACTTGAAAATATTTTATTTAAAGAAAACAAATTTTATTCTACTAATAAAATAATTATGAAATAAAACATTTCAGAAAAGAAAAAATAAATTAATAAATTAAAAATTTTCACCAATATTTAATAAAAAAAAAAGAAAAAAGCATGTAAACAAGAAGGCAATTTATTTAAATCAAAATTATAATTAATTTTGAATCACAATAAGTAATATATTCAATAAGTTTAGGAGTTCCTGTAAATTTTTATTGAATGAAACAGAAAACTATAGATAAAAATATAAAAAAGTTTCAAGATTGAAAAATTTTTTAAAACATAATAAAAAAAAAATGTTAGAACAAATGTTCTAATAACGTTTGTTAACTAAGCATATGTGATCTAATTAATTTAAAATGTTCTTAAAAAGTCTTATTTATATATAATCTTTATAAAAATATTGGAATTACATTTAAGATCTTTCTAAATGCACTAAATTGACAGACCTTAGTCCTCAATATTAGTACAACTTAAGAATAAATGCAATGTGCATTAAGATTTAACAAACAGATAATTATTGCATAATAATTATTAACTTAATTTTTTCCCCTTAACTAGAAAATATTTAATTTAAAGTCAACGCATTGTATGTTACTAATATAATACTTATGAAATAAGATGAACTAAATCGCTTCAGGAAAGAAAAAAATAAATAAGTTTAAATTTACCTCCAATATTTTTTTTTTAAAAAAAAGATGGAAAAAAATACATCAAAACAATAAGGCAATTAAATTTTGTTTAAATCAAAATTAAAATTAACCTAGATACAGAGTAACAATATGTAAATGTTCTTAAAAACGAGCAAAAGTTAACGAGTTTTTGTCTACTTTAGAACTCAAATAGAAAACTAATGTTAAAATAAAAATTATAACGATAAATAAAAAAATATTAGAACAAACGATATTATTAGAACTATGTACAAGAAATCTGAAACCAAACGAAAAGCAACAGCGCCGAAAACGCCCGCCTTTAAAGAGCAAAAGAAATATTAAAATGAAGGCCACAGAGGAGGTGTTTTAGAAATGATTTCAGCAACGAAAGAAAAAGAAATATGCATCTTAAGTAACATTGTTATATAGCAATAAAACATTTTTTTCCCTTTTCATCTTTTAAAAAAAATTTACAAGGTAACGAAAGAAATGTGTTATTTATTTGATGAAATTGTAAATGGAATGCATTTAAAATTCAAAATTGCGAAGAGAATTATTGGTCTAGCATTTTAATGTTACGAAACTGGCGTCGCATTTATGAATTCTTTTGAATAATTCAGTAATTTATCAAGATAAATTTTTATTGTATAGATGAAAAAGTTACGCCAGCTACATACGCACCAAGGCGCGTGTTTATATAATATTCTGTGGAAGCATTTGTAGTTTTGGAAATTATTTTTTTTATAATACCTTCACTCTCAAAAATGTCTAAATATATGCATGTTATAGATTATTTATAGTATTCTTTCTAAAAAAAAAATTTTTTTTTTTTGGCATTTAATTCTTTAAAAGGGTGTAAATGATCCGAAAATCGTAAAAATACCTAATATCAAAATACCATGTTACAGATAACAATATTCTATTAGATAATAAACATTTATATTTTGGTATATGTTTAAAAATGTCCGTATGATTCAAAACTTGTCTAAATATATTTATGCAGATATTACAATATTTTAGGCTATAAGGATCATATATTTTTTAAAATAATTTTGTTAATTATTTACATATGATTCAAGACCCATTTAATATATATTTAATTTGTAGATTAAACATTTCCAAGTCAGACCAATTTAGTAAAAAGATTTCTTGCATATATAGTACAAAGATGTCTTGCAAATATAATAGAAAGCTTTTAATAGCACAATTAATATGAAATACACTAAGTGTTATCAAAGAAATAATTACCCGAATTTCAGCTTTATTTATTTATTTGTTTATTAGTTGGTTTTTACATAAAATAATAAGCATCTGTAAATAAATTTTTATTTATTTATTTATAATTAGAAAACACGTAATTTCTTATAACTTCCAGAATAATTATTAGTAAAAAAGAAACTTGATTCCACAAAAAAAAAAAAAAAAAAAAAAAAAAAAAAAAAAAAAAAAAAAAGCATAAGTGCATTTTTTCCCAAAAATTTGACACCGATGCGAAATTAATAAAATCAACAGTTCAAAAATTTCTACTTATAGATTTTAAACGTAGTAATAAAGCACATTAATAAAGATATCTGGAACAAATAATTTTTTTCAATAATTTGCACGTTTTGAAACTCAAAATTAAGTTTTAAAGAATTTATTACTGGAAATATAATAAAATAATAAAAAACGCAATCGAATATGCAATTTTTCTGCGTCTTACATTAGCGTACGACGGATTTAATACAAATAAAAAATACTTAGAAAAAAAGACTTACATCTGGCTTATCTACAGTTCTCCTGCAAAAAGACTTTGTCAGTATTAGTCCAGGAAGTTTATAATTTTCAATAAAAACTTTCTCACAAACACAATATTAAAGTCATTAATAGTATAGCACAATAAATTCAATTCACGGATGAGCGAAAAAGAATTAAAAAAAAAAAAGAAAGAAAGAAAGCAAAAAAAAAAAAGTAAACTATAATCTCCCTCACAAAAAAAAGCGAAAAATAAAATAACAATCGTACGTAATTTTACTCAACAAATAATGGAAAACACGATGAATTACAATGCAAGGCCGTTTGTTAGCACTGACAAGCTCAATAAAGAATAAATTATACCCTATTCAAC